AGCCTGGCGGAGGAGGACGGCGGCTCGTGGGAGACGGGCCGCGTCTCGGAGTGGCCCTGGAAGTCGGGCAGGATCCGGGCGGTCTCGCACACGGACATATCCAAACCGGACCTGAAGGTAAGCGGGAACTTGCGGAGAACCCTGCTGAAAACGAGAGGGCTTGGCGCTGTGACCTGCAAACTCGGCGTGTTTGTGTCGCTGCGTTAGATGGATTGTGTTTTTGTGAGAAAATTCTGGAAGAGAGCGCACTGCTTGGTAGACTTTAACTGCTTGTAAACTGCGTGCCTCTGGGTAAACCCCCGATGTGCTTGTACTAATGCCAGAAATTACCTCAACGGAATTGCAGATTAGTTGTCTTCCACCAGCATTTTGGAAACTTTAGTTCTGTGTTGTGTCTGGACAGCCTCGGTTTCGTTTCTGCATGTTTCTTAAGTACGACTTCGGTGAATCGCTTTTTTTCAGAAGCTGCAGTGAATTACGAAACTAAAGCGTTCATGTTTTGCTGGGATTGTTTTTTTTTTTCCTGTTGTTGTTTCTTGCTTTTCCTAGCAGCTAGTGATAAACAAGTATCTCCTGTTTTAAAACAGTGCTGCGAACATGTCGCATTCATGCATGCTGTTGGAGGTTTCTTAAACTCTTCTCGCATGGTGGCTGCTTTTTAATAATGATTACCAGTAGTTTTTTTCTGTGCATAATCAACTCTTGCAAACTTACTGTAATTGATTAACTCTATATTTTGGGTGGAAGTCAACAGGCTTTTAGCATTGTGACTGTGAAGGTCTTAATGGGCTCTTGGGCAACCATAGCCAGTAAAAACTCTTCGACCCTATCTAAACAATTACTGTAGTATGCAAAGCATTTGAAAAGGACAGAACTTGATCATAGTAATGGAGTCTTATTCTATGGACCTGTTGCATTTGTTTTACGTGTGGCTTTGGCAGGCTCTTAACATGGCAGCAAGAACCAAATCTTTCAGTTAAAAATTCTTCCCATTAAAAGAGGAAAGGAAAAATTGTGTGAGCTCCGATTAACTGAGCAAGCACCTGCCCTTTTCAAATGAGAAGAAACCTAAAGTATTTCTGACTATTTGCCGAACATGTGAACTTCGGAATGTGTTAGGAAGAGTCCTGAGTTGTTAGAGGCTGAGCTTCTTGTTGTGTGTCTGTGCAGAGGTGGGGCTTTCCCCATGTATGGCAGCCTGGGCTGGGTCTATGCCTTACTTGGTGCGAGGAGGATGTCACTGCAGAACGATCTTAGGGACCTTCTTGGAGACTTAGAAGGAGAAGAAGCAGGTGCTGTTGAGGACTTTACAGTGCTTTGTTGTGACCTTCCTAACTGGTGACGATTCTGTTGGAATACATTAACTTAATGTGTTGTTCAGCATTAAGTTGCGAAGTAGACAATCGAGGCATAAAGAGCTTTTGCATGGTAATGCATGCCACCTCCTTTTCTCTCACAGCTCTGTGGAAGAGGTATGTATAGTAAGGCCCAAAATAGCGATGCACTGAAAGAATCTCTAGAGGAGAAGATTAAATTTAATCTTTGAAATCCTACCTTTATATAGTATTAGGAATGAGCTACAGAAATGAAAGACAAGTGCATTTGGAAGTATTTTCTCAACTGTATTTTCCTGTACGTGCAGCGTTGATCCTGCAGACAAAACAAGCCATTCTGGTTCTGATACTTGTGCTGTTTGCTTATCTCTTTCATTGTTTCAGTGAATTTCAAAATGACAGAACTCACTTTAGCATCTATTAGTTTTATGACTCTTCTGTCTGTAGCAATGCTATTCTGTTTACATATGCGTATTTGCTTGCCTCTCCCTTTAGAGAGGGAAGTTAAACAGAAGGCAATGTTTCTAAGATTCACTTAACGGGGTTTTCCCTATATTTAGGGTAAGTTAGTTAAATGTTATATTTAGACTATATAGTGATACTGTCTGGGAAAAGGGAGATTGTTCCGAGAAGAACGTTCTCTACCAAGTCGCTTCAAGTCATGTCTTCAGGCAAAGTGATTTCTGTTGTCATTTTTCTCCTTTCCTCAAGTCTTCGTGTTGCCTATGAAAGAACGGTAACGCTATCCCATACTAATTGGTCAAGCTACCGTGTCTTTGCCATATAGCCACAACTGCTTTACTCTGCAAAAGTCTGTGTGTATACTTCAGAGATTTGTCAAGTCGCAAACCATTTAAAACAGGCAGCAAATGACCTTCACATATATAATTTAATCTCCTTTTCTGACTTCTTGTCATTTGTATTTTCAGTGAAATAACTACAGTTGTTTTGCGGGGCTCTTATCCCTTAAAATATTTCTGGAAAAACAGTTTGTATATTCAAGTACTATAAAGAGCGTGTGGAAAACATGTGCACCACTATGGTACGCAGCCTTTCAAAGTTCTGGGGTTGTGGTGAATTTTTTTTTCCCCTTTCTCCTGTTTGATTGCAAACATTGGCAGAGCTAATGGCGTTTTAACTGTCCTTGAACAGTAGAGGATTTTTTTGAGATGGGAAGGTCATAGAGTTAGATGGGAATATAATACATTTTATGCAACAGGAATGATGATGAACCAGTTAACGTTGACTATCACTTATAAAATACTTGGTCAGCCTAGAATGGTTTAGCGGTTTCTTAATTACGTGGCAGAAAGGCAATAATCATACTTGTGCTGTAAGCACTTTGACTTTGTTTTTTGAATAATTTAATGTTTGTTTATCCTTTTCTATCTTATATGCGTTTGAATTTTATGGGTTAGTTGCTCCTTCCCTTTCCTCCCTTTCTGTAGGTTTGTGTAGAATTTGATGATGAGCCGTGGGAGAAGAGAAGATGGATAGAGGTTTATAGCCATAAAATGAAAGCATTCCTGGTAGAGCAAAAACTGGTGCTGGCTGAAAGAAGATCTCATGCCAGTGCTATGTCTCCGGTCCAGTGGCCTGCAATGGCAAGTATATGTTTGGCCTAACTTGCTTTAATTTTTGTAGTTCATTTTGTAAGGACGGTGTTTTCTATTGTGTTGCAAGTGTGAATTTCTCGAATACAGCTTCACTAATGTGTGTTATTTACCCATAGGGGGTAGCCTGAAGGGAGATTAAAACTCTCCGTACAGCTAAAACTAGGCAGTACTTGTAAGCATTTGAAGTCAGTAGGCTATGTCTGAGATACAGGGATGTATTTTTGACTGTCCTTCCCCCCGAAACCACTATTCAGTACAACTTCTGTCGTCTTTTTAATTCCTTCTCCCTCTGTGTTTATGCTGCCTTCTTTCATAACACTGTGATCAAGAATGGAGAGAAAAAGAATAGATAGTAGATTTCTGGAGGAAACCTGCATTTTTATCTTAAACCCCTGCTTTATGCTTTCTCAAGTACTGTTAATTCTTCAGAGATTCTTGATCTGAGACAGCAATCTGAATGGCTCTCATGAGGTGGCCGTCTGCCACAGGTCATTTGTGAGATCTGGATTTTGTGCGTATAAAAACCTGAGCTATATTCTACATATTGGAGAACTAAGATTTCTGTAACTGCCAGCCCTAGCAGTTTATGCGAATCAGCCAGGAGAGATGAACAGAGAATATTTCTCTGTTAATGTGTTTATCCAGTTGAGTTTTATTTGACCACTTTGGATGTTGTTATCCAAACAAGTAGTTGTGAAATAAACTAAGATGTAGACTTGCTGTACATCAGCTACGCTAATGTTGTGGTCGCTGTTTGGTACTCTTGACTTTGCTAAGTATCAAGTATACCGTGTAGTTTGTGTTGCTGTGTTTTGAGCTAAGCTTTGTCTTAAGCAAAGCTAATCTAAATTGTTTATTGGAAGTTGGATGGGAGAGGAAGTGTGTGTGTGTGAATCCTTTATTTTGTTTCCTAACCCTCACGTTACTGTCAGTGTTTCTACTAGTAAATATTGCTGATATAAATATTCTGAAAACCTGCATATTTAAGCTTAGGCATTATTCTTTTCCTTAAATTTAAATAGTCTTGACTAGATACTCGTACTCAGGTTTATGCAGAGGATTTTCTTCCTGATGTGCTTAAAGCCTCTTTCATGCAGTGTATGTGTTGCAAAGCACACTTAGAGGAATGATGTAGGAAAAAAGCAAAGCACAATACTGTGATTTGCTTTTGCAAGAGAAACCTTTTTTCCCCTCCCCCCTCCCTTCCTTTCCCATCATGCAGGGGAAGGAAAGAGGGGAGTCGCAAAGGGTTTTGTTTTATTTTAAATCCTGATCACGATTTGTTGATTCCAGTATAAAGGAGAGTGTTTTATTGACAAATAGAATAATTCTACATGATTTTTGTAATATCCAGGCACTGCTGGAGAGGCTTCTGCTCCTCTTCTGATGATAGTGCCCATTTCCAAAGCTGTCATAACTGAAGAGAAAATACCAAAGAGGGGAAAAATCTTTGTATGCTTGATCAGTCCTTCAGAAACCCAAATGCATTCTCTGTCATGTTTTGGGCTTTTTGTCGTTTGTTTCCTTTCTATTAAAGGGGTACAAATGCACCATTCCTGTAGGGCAGAGTTATTCTTTCTACTTCTGATGTTCCAGGCTTGTGATCCCTACCCACTCAGAGCTGTTACTAAACGACAAGGCAAAGTTTAATCTTGCACGTATTGGTAAGAGCTCAGAAGCTTGTTAGGGAAACGTTCGTTCTTGGCCGTTTGTAAAGGATTTGGTACCCCTGAGCGCAACTCTGTCTTTGCACTAGAGCCTAATAATTTTGAGGCTATCTAACTCATTACATATGTTTAAACTAAGGCTCTGGTATATGTCAGCGTGCTGCATGAGGTTTGAGAACTTGCGTGTAGGCGCTGTAGCAGGCCTTGATTCATTTGCTTCCCTCTGCTCTCACAATGAGGAGAGTTGTTTCATAAACACATATCCACAGTTCTCTAATTGCTGTTAATGTTAGTAACTTTTTCATCCAAAAATAGTCATTAATGACAGCCACCTGAGTTGAATTCTTTACTCTTTCCATTAAATGAAGTGGTGAGTTTCAAAGGTAACCTACTGTTAGGCTTGTATGAGGAAGTTTAATAGAAGCTTACTTTGTTTTGAGATTTATGTGAAGATGTGATGCCTTAATAGGGATGTAGATGCAAAGCTAATATTTTTTTTTATCTCAAATGCAAATGAGAAATGATGAGACCTCACTCTGTTTCTAAGAATTCTTATCGTTTTTCTAGACTTACAAATCCTTATTGGACAAGGCTGGTTTGGGATCAATGGTTTCAGTACGCTATCTTGGTGAAGAGAGATGTGTTTTTCTTTCTCAAGACCTTTTGACACCCATTCAGGTAATGTTGTATGATATTGTAAAAATGGAAGATACATCTTACATTGACCCAAGGTATCTTAAATACCAATATATTCTAACCATGTAAGTAGAACATTCATTGCTGAATCACTATGCACTTAAACTTGGAGTAGGTGCCTATTGCCGTAAGTCCTGAATATCAGCTCTGAACACTGTGTGTGGGTTCTAGATTTAAAAATCTTCTGTAAGCTCATCCACTACACAGTTTGAGAGATTGATGAGGGAGTGTATTAGGATAGTCTTCAGCCCAGGTGTGAGCAGCTGCTTCATGTTGATAGGGGATAATATGGAATAATTTCCATTTTGATATGTGAGCATGACTGCCGTTATTGTGAAAGGAGTTACAGAATAAATCTTTCTAGTTAATAGAAACACATCACTTCTAATCTTAATAGTGGTGGAGGTGGGCAGCATATACAGGAAATAGCTGAATTATAGACCATAGGGCTCAAACTTCTATCCAACAGTTGTTAGTTTTTTTAATGGATGTTCAGGGGCCGTATTCTGAATCTTCTTGTGAGATGGTATATCCCAGACAATCAAGCTTCAGTTGGTACTCTTTAACTAGTTAACTATGCCCAAAATGAGTGAATGGGAAAAAATTTCCCCTTTCCTGTCCCCAGTGGATGAGAAAGGAAGGTGGATACCTCTGAGTTATGAAGATAGCTTAGCTTAATGGTTGATAAGTGTAATAAATCAGTTAACACTAGTTGCTTAGATCTGTTTTTGTTTTGTGGGTTTCTTGTTTTTTAGACTGTTTTCTGTGAGAATGTACTTTTCGCTGATCTCCTCTGAATGAAGGAGGGGAACTTTAATGCAGGTGATCAGGGTGCAAAATAACCCCCTCCTTTCTGATGTGGTGGTTGAATTTAATTTTGAGTGTAAAAGTACTCTCCTGCATGTTTTAAATAAAATCTTGCTTTTTAGAATGTTAACAAATTGAAGCAAATGTAAGAGAATGAAGTGGCTCTGGATGAAGAGGTGCTACTAATATCAGGTCCCTATAATGAGCACCAAGACGACAAAATTATCAGTGAAAATTAGGTAGAGACAGGTTGGAAAAACTGCCCTGCTTGGCTGACTGGACAGGGATTCTGAAGAATAGTATCTGCTGCTGATGAAGATTTGCTGCTTTAGAAAACTACTAGTTCTAATGCAGACTGCTTATAGGTCTTGAAAGTAGTAGATGGACCATGTTAAAGACTGCTTATAGCTCCAACATTAATATTCTACTTTGACTTGTTAACAAGCAGCCAAGTAGGCTGCTTTCATACTGAGAAACTAATGTATCACTTAAATTTACAGTTGTGTGTTCTCACCTTGCCTGTGTTCACTCAAAGGCAGAATAAAAGTTTATTTTTATGGAAGCTTTACTTCAGTACTGCAGTGGAGAAAGTTACTTTTCCAGCATTTTGAATGGCAGTTCCTTGTTTACTGATTCTTGAGCCTTCGATGTGTTACAAATACCAGAGTGGTGCTTGGGGCAGACAAGAAATTCCTATTTATTGACACTCTTAGCCATTTTAAGAACTTGGTTTACACTTTGCATTTCAAAGTTGATTCTGAGTATCTTCAGCTGACTTGTTTTAGATAACAATAGAGATAAAAACCAAGGTATATAGTAATGAATCGTGGTGAACGATTTGGATATAGCTGTCTCTGTTTTCATATGAACTATTTAAGATGGCATCTTGAGCTGAACTGGATCCTGGTATTGCTCTCATAGCTCAAATAGAAACATAAAACTTAAAATATCTGCACTTGCACATTTTCTAAACAGTCCTGAGCATTTTAAGTTCCAAGAACTTAAAATTCCTGAGTTACAAATGGATGGTTCGGTTAAACTTAGTGCTCATTAGCAAGTAAAAAGTTAACGTAATAAAACAAAGCCAGCTTGTCTTTTAGAATGATACTGAAGTGGACCTGGAGAGCTCACTCCAGTCAGGCCTGCTGATGGTAGTTCCAAGTTAGTGGTAGAGAAGTGATACGTGCTTCAATAACTACAGTATCCCGTGAGCTGAAGGAAGATAGAATAATACTTGTTTACCTGAATTGCTGCTAGCCTTGTTGCTAAATATTCTCAAGTCCTTTTGTTAATCAAAAGCATTATCTGTAGTACCAACTTGAATATTTTGTTCCAAACAGGATGTGGAAAGTTCCAGGCTTCCTCTTATGGATGATGAAAATGTTAATGAAGAAATTCAGGCTTTGGTTAAGAAACACCTAGATGAAACCCGCTTGGTACAAGGTACAAGTACATCCTGCAGTGGAAAGCTCTGGTGATAAAGTCTCAAATCAAAAGGGAAATCTTTGCACCGATAGTGTAAATTACAGTAATCTGTTTTAGGGATGAAATTTTTTTTTCTTTAAGACTGATTCCACATAGTTACTTTCACAGCACTGAATGTAAAATATGAAGGATTATAGGTATATTAGCATCACACATATTTTTTTTTTTTTGAGTGTGTGTAATTTGGGCACCTAGAGATGTTATAGATGGCCTAATACTTCTGTACTTTGTAAAAGTGTCAAATGGGTAGCAGTTCCCACTGAATTTAGTGGAAATTGCTTATTGCTTTTAAAGTAGCTGCTTGTTCATAAACTTACAAAATTGTATATAGGGATTACTTGTTTTTTTCAGTCAAATGAAAATCTTTTTTTAGGTTTATCAGCTTCCATTTTTCGATCAGTGGTTCACAGAGGTGTATTTGTAGTCATGCACTTGCACGCGCAGGAATTAGTCACAAAACGGTTGATGTTGGAAAGGACTTCTGGAGATCATCTGGTCCAAGTCCCCTGCTCAAGCAGGGTCATTTAGAGCAGGATGCCCAGGACCTTGTGCAGTTGGGTTTTGACCGTCTCCAAGGATGGAGATTCCAGAACTCTGTGGGCAACCTTGTTCTAGTGTTCAACCACCCTCACAGTAAAAGACAGTTGTTTCTTATGTTCAGATGGAACTCCCCGTGTTTCAGTTTATGCCTGTTGCCTCTTGTCCTGTTACTGGACACCACTGAAAAGAGTGTGGCTTCACCTTCTTTGCACCCTCCCTTCAGATATGTATACGCATATAAGATCCCTCCGAACTTTCTCTTCTCTGGGCTCAATAATCCCAGCTCTTTCAGCCTTTCCTCATGAGAGATTTTACCAGTCCCTTAATCATCTTAGCGGCCCTGCACTGGACTTGCTCTAGTAGCTCCACATCTCTCTTGTACTGCAAGATACTGGATACTGATGAGTACTGTGACCTCACCAGTGCTAAATGGAGCCTTCCCTTTATGGAAAGGAAAGTAGTACAGAGAATTGTCACTTTGCGTATTGTAAAGATGGGAAAACTCTGCATTTTAGTCGATGAGTCTCCATCTCCATGTCCACTGATCTATCTCACCAGCTGAAATTTGGAGGTCAGCTCAGCTTTTGCTGCACATGTTAACATTTAGAAGACTTTATTGACATGCTCCAGGGAAAGAAGTAGCTGGAATGTAGTTTTATCCTGTGTTTGTCTGTTTGGTTTTTTCTTCTCCTTTCAGCTAGTCTGTGGAAGTTCTCAAGCGGCTCAGTTTTTGTTTACTTGCATCTCGCATACAATACCGTTAAACTGATGTTGGTGGCTGCATAACCTGTGATTATGTGAGCATCTTCATCATCCCTTTTTTAAAGCATGTTTCTTGTGTGTGTGTGGTTTTTTTTAAGGTGGCAAAAATATCATTGGTTCAAAAATCAGAATTTATAGTCTGGATCCATCTACCCAGTGGTTCACAGCAGTCGTTGTAAACGGTAATCCGGCTACCAGGACTCTAGAAGTCGACTGTCAGGAGGTAAGAACCCATTGGCGTAGGGTATACAAACAGAGATGGTAAAGGGATGGGGATCCCTTATTTATACCTGGTCTTCCCCGTTTGTAATTCTGTCCTTACTGTAGTAAACTAAAAGTGCAATATAGTCTGTTACCCCAAAATATTTCTGTATTGCTTTGTGCTGTTGGTGAAATTACCAAGTAACAAATGGTTTTCCACGTGAAGTGGTGGAAGCCTGAAATATATGTTTGAAGAGCAAACGTTATCCTGGTATCTTTGTTTTCCATGCTGTACAGACAGTGCTCTGAAGCACCATGTTATGTGCATGTTTTAAAGCAGAGACACTGTCATTACAGCGCATTTTTAAATTCAGCTTACTGTTCAAAGAACACAGAAGTTCAGATACTTAATTTCATGTATATACCATAGTATCCAAGATAGCTTCAAACTGTAACTTTCTCTTCTTTAAACTGCTTATTCTTTGTTCCTTTCCAAGATTCCAGCTTTAAAAACACTTGATCCAGAGTTAATTCATGTTGAAATCATATACGACAATAATGGAAAATGTGGTAAGATGTATTTTTGTTCATACTTCAGATAGTAAGTAACAACACTGTGCTAAAATAGAGTGATCTTGATCACTGTCTGTTGTTTCAGATAAATCTAAAAGAAATGGGGGCACAAAAAGGAAGTCTTCTGAGACAAGTGGATGTGTTGATGCTAAACATACAAAATCTTCTCCTGAGGTAATGTGTTACTGTGCTATACATGACTGTGTTTTGTAACAGTTGTGTCGTACTTTTACATTAGAACAATTTTAAATGAAGATTAGATAGAAAAGTAGAATAATAAACATAATCCCTGGGAGAATCTGAGTTCTCAAACTTGTCTCGGCATGAGTAAAACCTCTTGCCTTGTGGTAATTGGAGAAAAAGTGACTGAGCCTTGAAGCTTGGTGTGTGGTGTGGGTTTTTTTTTTAAAACTGTTTTTTGCCTCCTTGTCCTGCCTAGAAGGAGTTAGCCTACTGAGTCGTGTATTTGGAGAGGGAAAAGGAAGGGGTGTCCTCAAGTACAAGCCTTTGCTTTTTTATAGTCTTCCTTTAAATGTTTTGTACTTGAACCCCAAACCTATAGCAATGCTTACCTGCTTTGAGGATTCAAGCTTGGCAAAGAGCAGACTAGAAGAATGTTGTTTTAATACAAAAAGGGAATCTTGCAACTTTTCTAGTACTTCTATGTCTATCTGAATTGCTTTTGTGGCTAACCTGCCAAGTGTGGCTGAGATCCAAGAAAATGGTCGCAAAGGCCAAGGGAAGATAGGGATAACTTAGGTATAGAAATGTAATTGAGGTATAATGGTTTGACTGAAGAACAGCGCTGCAATCTTACCTTGCAATGTTATCCCGATGTTTCAGACCAAAAGTTGCCTTTGAGGCAGAAATAGCCTTCAGGAAGCTCTAGAGTGGTGGGTTGTTCTTGGTTGACTTCCTGATTTTTGGCTTCTTTGCAGTCAGTCCTGTGCTATGTGGGTCTAGTTAATGACTAGGTATAATTACTAGAAAGCTTTAACAGAGTCACAGAGATACAGTGTGAGGTAGCAAGTGCCAGATAAGATTCCTCAATGAAAAGTGATCCATCCTGCATTGACTGTTGTGGAAGAGTTTGTGGAGCAAGGCAGCATGAAATAGTTGTACTCTGTTAAAGTATCTTGTTTGTATGTAATTCATGTTTGAGTACCTTTAACGTCTTTCATGTCCTCAATACACAGCAATTCTTTGTGTCAGGCTGCTCAATGCATGCAGAGTCAGTCTTATTTCATATTCTCAATCTAACGTGGAAGAGCTGTTACGGTCTGAATTCTTGGCTTGTTCATGTCTAGATTTTTTTTTGGGGTGATTCAAGTCAGTCTGACAGTGCTAATCTTAATTTTCTGTAGGGGTTTCAGAGGAAATCTGGAAGCTATTCCTGAATTCTGATTACTGCTTCTGATTTAGAAAGCTCTGTTGTGATTGCACAGGCAGTTAAGAGCAGAGTTTCCTGTCCTCTTTATACCTTCTTAATGTTCCTTCCAACCACCTGCTACCGCACCCCCTGCCAAAAGTCTGTTGTGAATTGGGGGCAAAATAATAGTGTAGGTAAAGTCTGTAAACTTGAAAAGGACGCTCTGAGGTCTTCCCATCTTCAGGACTGAGTGGAGAATGGACTTTGACCAACTTTATTAAACATATATACCAGGAAGTGTGCTAATGTACTTTTCTTTTGAAGCTTAATCCTGAGAAGCAGTATTTTTTGTTATCCTATTTAAGTGTTGATAACTTAAATCTCCCTTTTAGGTTTCTCCTGGTCAGGGACATGTGCAGTCAGTACCAACAGTGTTTGGTGAAGCATTGTTAGGATGTACTCCTGCTAATAAAGACCAAAAGCATCAAGGACTGCCCCTGCCAGCTAACTCTCCTCCCAATCTTGGTGCAGAAACTCCTCAGGGGTAAGAAATCGGAGGTTTTAGAAACTGTAGTAACTAAACTCTTCTGTAACATTGCATAGAAAAGCATTGGACCTAGTTGTCCCGAGTACATAATTTACTTAAGGATGTTTAACCCAAAAATATGGCCTTGGCCTAAGTCACAAACCAGTTTTTGTGCTACACTATACCTGTCTGTAAAGTGACGGATAATACATGAGTGTGATGTCTAGTTTTTGTCAGACACCCGCACTGCCACCCCTACCGGAATACGTTCAGGCAGGTGTTCTGTACGCTCGCTTCCTGTAGATCGAGTATGGGCCCTCAGTTATTTCTGTTGAATGCTGTTGACTTCTTCTGCGTTTAGCTGTAAGAAGCTAGAGAATGCTTTGTCCAACTGGCCAAAGCCTTCCAGTGCAGAGTTTCCCACTCAAAAGCTTCCTTGAACGAATTTGAGCTGATAATTGCGTTTCCGTTTTAAAACTAGCTCTAGCATTCATTTGGTCAAGGCGTTTTTCTCTATTAGGTGTCTCCAGAATAGAAACGTCCGCTTCCGCTGTCACAGCGGGAAAGGGAGTCTGGGGCCTGAAGCGAAGGTTGCTTTGTTCAATCTCCTGACTGTAGAAGTGTGTTGTATCGTGTAACTATTTTCTGAAGTGTAAACTACACTTCCTTACTAACTTACGGAATTTGAGGGCTAGAATATTGTGCTTGTGCCCTCAGTTCTGTCAGATGAACGTATCTAGTAGAAACAACATGATAGGAAATATAAAAATTTTTATTATCTCTAAAAGACATAGTGTAATTTTGTTCACTTATTGTTGTGCATACTACCTTACAAAATAAATGCAGGAAAGATCATCATTTGATGCTTTTCTGTGTGGGAGCAGTTTTACTGTCTCAATATAGGTTTGTAATGCGCACATGAACAATTGTCACTACCTAAGTTTCTTGTATATTACACTATTAAGCAGGCATGCCAGTGAAATGTGTTTGACACAGTAAGTTGTTTGACGGCAACTTAACTCGTTTTTTGTTACGAAGCTGTTGCCTGAGGAGAATATACCTCTAATTGTGAGAGAGGTGGTAGAAGAGCTGCAGTATCTAAGCTTGTATGCCTATATGTACATGTAGCTGTATCTTTCTGTTCCAACTCTTGACACAAAGAAAAACAAACCTATTTAACTTCACAAAACATTTAACATCCCAAATTTCAGAATTCAAAGTACAGGATTAATTTTCTTCTTATTCTTTCAAAATGTAAATGTGAATAGATCTGAGGAGCTGATATCCTTGTTCGTTTGGCACCTTTTAAGTTTTGCACGTCGTGTGTTTCAGCACATGTAGACGAAGCTTACCAGAAACACATCCTTCTTGTCTTAATGCTGGAATTAAACCATTGAAAGAAGATCTGACTGCCTTTCCTAAAGTGGAGTTTAGACATAAAGAACAAACGCAAAATCCCAATGATCAGAATGGTAAATATACCTCTTTGATAACCACAAGATCTTCATCTTTGACTGATTCAGTTAGTGAAAAACTAACCAACATGAAAAATATAAACGAACCTCTAATGAAGTGCACAACAAACTTTCCAAAAGAATGCGTTTCTGTAAAACCATTGCAACTTCTCAACTCTTCCATAGCAATATCCAGAGTCAGTAGCACTATGGAACTGCAGAGGACTTTAGATTGTAGACCCTCAACATCAGATGCTCATCTTACCTCCTTTACTGAATCTGGAGTTAAATTGCAAAGCAATTGCAATAGTCAGAACAGCCGCAAAGGAAGCAAGATTGAGGAACATACAGACACGGAATTTTCTTTTAGAAGAAATTCAAATGAAATTCTCTTTGAGAGAAATGAAAACGAAAGCATTTGGACTGGAAGCACTAAGGCTCAGGATAATAGTAAGTATTTTTAAAGTTTCCTGTCATTTCAAAGTCCTGAGAGTTTCTGTGTAACTATATACAACAATATCCTTTAACTCATACAGGATTATTAATGTAATTAAATTATGTAAGTGAGCAATTGGGAATTTGTGGATTCTTCTACAACAGCAATGTAGTTCTTTATCATTTTTCTCAAGTTTAATCATTAATCCCTAGAAATAAAATTGTTACCTTCGTTTCTTGCATATATTTTGTAAGACAGGTTACAAAGGCAAGGTCCTATTTAGAATGCAAATGCTGATGACATAATGAGACTGCATTTTTTTGCAGCATTGTCCTAAATTTTGTAAGCTTGGAGAGATGGAAGCTGTTCTCTGCACAGCTTTGTTCAGGAGGGGCTTTCATTTAACTTTTTTTTTTTAAATGAACGTCCTTGTTTCAGTGTTTTCTGTGGCTCAGTTCTACCTGTTGAGTGCGCCGAGCTTTTCAGATGTGATAAAGAATGGGAAAGCTTGTAGTTGTTTAAGGAGCTGGACTCCTGATGGCACCTGCATAAAGCTTTGTGCATCAAACAGTATAGCAGATTGTCCTGGCCTCTGGGAGTCTCTGTAAATACCCATGTCTTTCTCAGCCAGTGTTGCTTGGCCTTGTATTACAATGTGCTGTTACATAATTAACGTAGGTAAACTGCCAGCCCAGTAGTCGCTGTTGTGCCCTGCTGGGTCTCCCCTACAATGGGGGAGGAAGGCAGAAGTTTGGCGTCTATTGCAATAAGATGCTGAAATCCATTGCATCTTGAAGGGAAGAACGGGACTGAGCCATGGTCACTTTGTACTTCTCTCTTCAGTACTTCTAAAAGAGTCATGTCATGCGCTGGTCTATTCCGTGCTCAAGTACTCCAGTCCTGATAGCTGAAGAAAGTACTTCTAATAAAAGCAGATTCTTTTTTCAAAATATAGTCTTCTGTGGAGGGCTGGATGGTGCTTGGGTCCCCAGACTGTGATCCAGTGGGACTGTGATCCAGTGGGACTATAGCTTGAAAAAGTTTCTACTGACCTGAAAAGAAGCTTCTGCCAACTACAAATATTTGAAGATATTTGTTTCAAAGTAATGTGAAGGTTATAGGAAAAGTTGGTAGAGATCTTTCCTTTAAAGACATCTGCTTTCGCTTTTGTATGAGAAACCAATTGGTAAAACTTGTTTATCCCTGCAGTAATGGTTCGCAAGTCAATTTTGGCAGATGCTTCTAAAGTGAAGAAGCTGCAGCAAAGTGGAGAAGCATTTGTACAGGATGGTTCCTGCAATAATATCGCACCTCACTTGCATAAGTGCAGGGAATGCCGTCTGGACAGTTACCGAAAGAATAAAGAGCAAAGAGATTCCACTGTCTTTTGCAGATTCTTCCACTTTAGGAGGTAAGAGCAGTTTTGACTGTATGTAGATTTTGATATTCTTTAAATTTGAATAACAAATTTTCCATGACTGAGTTGGGTGCTTTTGTTTTGTTTTTTATTTGTCTTGTTCTTTTTAACTGTAACATTTGTCACCTTTCTAGGCCAAAATGAAAAAATAGCAACGTGGTTGCGTTTAGGTCTCTGATTCAAAATTAGTAGACACAAATGTTTAGCTGTTAAACGGTAGGGCCAGTATATCTAATGGGTGGGAGGTTGTCTATATTGTTTGGCTATTAAAAACTTTACAATTGCTTCATTTGGATAGAAAATATTTTGGCAGAACTTTGATATTCTATGCTGAACGCCAGTGGGGTAGCTTGAGTTTAGTTTGCGTGCTACAGCACAGTAATGGCAATAGTAGTGAGAGGGTGGATTCCACGCACATCCCAAAAGAGTTTACGAGTTGAACATGTGCAATGTTATGACATGTATCTGCAGTTGTAGAAGAATTGCACTAAGTGGGCAGGGGCTTTTTGCAAGAATAATGGAATAGTGGCAGGTAAAAATGTTATGACTGCACATTGTATTGCTCCGTTCTTTATTCTTGTTCACACTTTAGAGCTTGAGTCAATTTATCTTTAGGTTTGACATAGAAGTGTTTAATCAGTACACTTGCTTTGTTCGAGGAGGGTGGATGGTGAGGGTGAATGGGGCAATTCTGAGGAAAACAGTGACTGCTGAATGCTGCGTGTTTTTTCCAAACCTGATCCGCAGATTCTGATCCCCCTGCAGGATCCTGGCTCTTGAGCTGAGCAGTCAGTCGTGTATTTTAGCTCTTCAGTTCTTGTGACAACATGTGGAACTGTAATCTGTCTTTAAAAAGGATTTTAAAACTACCAGTAAGCCCAGGTGTAGACACTGCCGTTCTGCAGCATTTGATTAAACGTGTCCTTTTCTTTGTTTTCAAGTTCTGCGTAAATCTTTTTTAACGCTGTACTTGATCTCATGGTAGGATGTTGCATGTTGCTTCTTATTTTTTTTTTTGTTACTCTCTAATGTCACAAGGGAGACCGGAAGCTTCCTTATCCTCAGTTTTCCTTTTCAGAAGAATGGCCTTCTTGTGGGTCTCCAGGTAGAAGAAATATGCTGTAGGCCTGAAGAGCTTTTGAGGAGAGAAAAATGAAAGCAGAAGTGTTACAATGTTCTTAACAAGAGAAGGCTTTCTTTTTTACTCTTCTATTTGTCTCTTGAGGTTTATTCCTCTCTTTTATCCCTCCCTCTTCAAAAGCTGGTTGTGTAGGTGTAAAGGCTTTAAAAAATAAAGATGCATTACTAATCTGTGATTTCTCCTTGGGTAGTGTTTTACTAAAGTAAATCTTGGGATAATCTGACATCAGCTGAAACGCTCAAAAACACATGAGACTGGAGCAGCAGCAGACTATGCTAATTCATCTTTTCAGGGTTTAAAAAAAAAAAAAAATCCAGACTCCACTGCAGCTCAAAGCAGCTGAATCTTTCAGTTTAGAACCCTAAAAAGGGGAAGTTTCACCTGCTTCACCTGAATGTGAAATCTAAAAAATGTGAATTCTTTTGTCTTAATTTCAGTTGCCAGTGCACTTTCTTGCTACGGTTAAGCATTGTAGTGAGGACAAGTTGTCATCAGAAGTCAACTTTCTTCTATGATATGTATCTCCTTTTCACCTAGCACTTAACGCTAGTGTCGTGTCTGTTTATCCATGTCTGTTGCAACTATCGTGTTAAATGCATAGACATACAGCGTGCGTATTGATCCTTTAGGCAATGAGTTGTTGGAATGAACGGAAACTAATAAAGCATCTGAGATGACAGTTTTTTCTCCCTTCCACTCTTTCAACAGGCTGCAGTTTAATAAACATGGATTGCTACGTGAGGAAGGTTTCTTAACTCCAAATAAGTATGACCCTGAGGCTATTAGCTTGTGGCTACCTTTATCAAAAAACGTTGTGGGTCTAGATCTAGACACAGCAAAGTATATTCTAGCCAACATTGGAGACCACTTCTGTCAACTGGTGATATCTGAAAAGGAAGTTATGTCTACAATTGAACCACACAGTAAGAGCAATTTGTATTAAAGTAATCTGTATTTTGAGGTTTATGTGAAACTTTAAGCTTACTGACCTATGTGAAATACACTGCATGCACTTGGTAATGTCATTTAAGACTTCAGTCTTTATCTTATTCTGAGATAGAAGTAGTGGTTAAGACCTAGTGTGACTTTTCCGTAACTCTTTGCTCATGGACAAAAAAAACATAATTCTACTCTTCTTTTTGTGTTAGATTGCAACAGAAGTAAACCGATAAATTCAGAAAAGAGAAAGTGTAATTCTGTTATGAAACAAAGTGTGAAAAGGAGAAAAACCAAAAACCACAAAAGAACATGCTGCCTGTTTTTTTTTAATTTATTTTTAGCATGTAAATGAAATAAAGCTTCCCCTCTGGCTGCAGAGATTCCATTAGGCTTTTTTGTTCCTATTTTGTTGTTTCTGCATTGTGGACCTAATGCTGCCTGTATTTACCAGTAGAACTGTTTCGGCTGGATATCCATACAGCCCCTGCTGGGCATAGAGAGACTGAAGAGATGATATTGTTGGGGTAACTGGCTGCAGAGCTTTGTTAGTGCAAGTAGGGCAAAGCTTACATCCTAAACACAGATTTTTTCAGCCATGTAAGAATGTTTCTGCACCAAACATATAAGCAGACACATGTGGAACTTTGGGAAGGAATTATGTAAGATCATAGAAAGAATGGATCTTCAAACTGTTTTTTTTCCTTCTAGCTGCATGACAGAGATGCAGCATGATTTAAAGACTTGAAATGCTCTAGATGAACTGACATGTTTTATATAACGTCAGAGCTATCAGTCATTCCACGTTGAACCGAAGAAAAACTGAATAGCTTTGAATCCCCTTCAGAAGGGGAGGGAAGGAGTTTAGATCTTTCAGAAGTGCTTGCCTTCCAAAATGTTCCTTAGAATTGAACTCAGTGGGGCCTTACCCTGGAGTACTTGGAGTCTATGAGCTCTGCTCTTCGCTTGAATTGATATGCATCCATAGCCAGATTGAGTGTGTGTGAAATATCAAAAACCCTTTCAGAAGTACATGAAAAAGGGTGTGGGGGTGGATTTTTTTTTTTTTTGTGGAAGATGTTTCTGATGGGTATGCTAATAGATAACAAAGACAAATGTGAGTTCTGGAGATCGTTTCAGTGGGACAAAATGTCATGAATTGCTGCTTAATTGTTCATAGCACAGGCTGGTGAGAGTGAGGGGAAGTAAACTTTGTGAGAACGGAGGAATTTTTTAATACCCTGGATAGAAAAAAAAAAATTGTGCAATCTAGATAGGTACTAATCCTTTTTTGAACAGTTCAATGGCAAAGTACTCAACTGAAATGGGAAAAAACTTAGATTACACCTACACCACTCCACTCGCAATTTGAAACTCTGGTAAACTTTCCTTGATATCATTTTAATTAAACACTCTGTCTTTTAATAAAAATTCTGGCTTTGACATTTTAGAAAAGGCCAGTTTGTCAAAATATTTTTGTTTGTTTGATATACTACCCCTAGCAGGCAGAAACAATGTTGTTTAGTAGGTACTTAAATGCAAAATTTTACTTGGATTTTAGTTTTGACCTTCAAAGCACTGCATCTGAAGATGTAGTCTTAATGTATCTGATAGAGCAAAAAAGGAGTCGGTCCGTTCTTCTTCAGGTACTACTTTTGAGAGGCGACTTACACTTCAGCATTTTTGCACTGCGTAGTATGCCTGCGGGTCAGCCCTTTTACCTCCAAGTTACCATTTGAAAAGTATAGTTAAAAGTATTAGCCCTCAGTACCCTGCTAGATACTGCGAAATTGCTGCTTATCACACTTAATCCATTTTAGAGTTTTTGAAATGAAATATTACTAGTGGGAAAGATCTGGGAAAGAGGCTACTGAACGAGGCATGAGGCAGCTTGAGCAAGAGTGACTAGGAAGAAAGAATTTGGGATCTTTTATGAGGGAGGATCGTGGCAAAGAAGTCGTCCCTCAGACAAGACTGGTAGGTAGAATCTCAAGAAGGACGAGTCTGAGGGAGAAAACTATTTTAAAGAGTTGGCAATTCCTTAACAAGCAAGTACAAAAAGCACAAGCTAAACTCTTCCAGTGCAGTGGAAGACTGACCAGTGTAGAGAAAAGAGCTTGCTTAAGTCAAAGATTTTTTTTGGGCACTGAGTGTGAAAAGGAGGCCTACAGAAAGAGGAAAGGAGGACAGAAATACAGAGAGGAAATAAAAGAACAGGATGAGCATGAAAAGACAAAATAGGAAAACTGAAGTGAGTTTGCAGCTTTGCAGAAAAGGATCTGGAGGTCCTGGTGGGCAAGAAGCTGAATGAGGGGTTCCCCAGGTGGATTTATCCATAATCTGGTTCTGGTGCTGAAGATCAGGCACATCTCAAAAACAAGTCTGAGCACAGATCCAAAAAAAAAAAAAAGCCACCCAATACTCCTTGTATCATTAAAGTATTTATTCTCATGTAACTATGTTTAACATGCGAATGTTTTGTTAAAACTTACATTTTGATCCACAGGACAAGTAGCCTGGAAGCGTGCAGTTCGTGGAGTTAGAGAAATGTGTGATGTCTGTGACACCACAATCTTCAACCTTCATTGGGTCTGTTCTAAGTGTGGCTTTGGCGTATGTGTGGACTGTTACAGGATGAAGAAAAAAAGCTTACATCAAGGTGAGACTATACATAGCTACTCTGAATGAAAAGGTTGTGTGGGGGAAACCTGTATTTTGAGCTTAGAAGCTAACAAAGAGTCGTCTTATCAACTTTTAAGGGTCTACGACTGATTTTATTTGTTATTTCAATAGTATTAGAATACACGGCTTTCCATAGGAAGATGACACACGTACTAATTGAACAGTTCAATGATTGTGTTTTACAGATGATGAATCAGATACTTTCTCCTGGTTTAAATGCGTGAAGGGGCAGGTACATGAGCCAGAGAATTTAATGCCTACACAAATAATTCCTGGAAAAGGTATTTTTAAATATCTAATTGGGAGGAAAGATTTGCAAGTTTTTTGCTCTATTTTGTATGTTATTGGCCCTATACAAAGGGGGCTTTTTGAGTAATAAAGTTAACCAGAGCTTAGTATTTATTGTCGGAAGGTTTCAGTTCAAAGACTGGAGCAGTCTTTGTGCTTAGTACTGTTTCATTATCTTTGACCTTTATGACAAAGTATTAAAACGTAGTGTTTAAAGATGAACTGTGTTCCTGTACTATTGTTTAACTTGCATAGTATACACAAAAAGTGTTATTGAATGCTGGATGTTCTAGTTAAATGTGAGCTCATTAATGACTCTTCTCCTTCAGCTCTCTATGATGTTGGTGACATTGTTCACTCTGTAAGAACAAAATGGGGAATAAAGGCAAATTGTCCTTGTGCAAATAAGCAGTTCAAGGCACTATCAAAGCCAACTCTAAAGGAGGATGCCAAACAGGTATTGCTACTGTCTCGCACTATGTATGTGTAGCTGAAATATCCATAGATGGTTTACCTCAGTCTACCTCTATTTGAAGTCAATGGTAGCTGACTTTAGGTATGCCAATCCCAGCTGTTTCTGATAACCCCATCACGTAGATATTCTTGTTCAGTAGTTGTGTTCAGTGTTCATCTGTCTGGTTCAGCTTTCTTGAAAGTATTGGGGAAAATCATCTTAATCTGTCCCTTTGACACACTGACATCTCGGTGAGTGACCAACCCTTGAAAAATGTTGAGTGAGGTTTTTTATAGCACAAATAAGATTAGGTTGAGGGAACTTTTCTAAAGAATCTTCTTTTAAGAACAGACTAGTGGGAATGGCTGAGGAGTCTAGGATATCCCTTGGGTCCTGAAGACTTAATGCATATGGCATCTAAAATAAGTAGGCTAGAAGAGTACTGGCACTGATAGAAGGGCTATATGTATATTGGATTCTGAGGGCTAGAGCAGTGGTTTCTCTGAGGACCCTGGTGGGAAGTTTACTGCTCATTATTATTATTATTATTTTTAAAGGAGATCAGGTTATTTGGGTAACTAGTCCTAACTGGGCAGTGATCAGGAAAAAAAAGTTTTGTGGATACTTGTTTATTGTATTTGTAAATGGATGTAGTATTTTCTGCTTTAGTAAAATAGAACGCACGTTCATGGCTTAGTCCTGCAGAGACTTGCGAGAAACTAGTGTCTTAAGTTAATTTTAGTTTAATTTTGCTGTATGCTTATTCGTAAACTTTGAGAATAAAAGTATTACCTTGAGTCTAAGAAGCAGACTGAGCTTAATTTTAGTGGTGGTCATGAACAGTAGAGCAAAGAGGAATATGAAGTGTGAAGAGCAAAAAAGATGGTTATGGGGCTGAAAAACTAGCCTGTGACTGACTTAGCTTCAGTCTTTTGTTTTTTCAAGACTTCCTGTGTGACCCTGGGCTAATAGCAGCACTGAAATTTATCTATAGCTCTCTTTCCTATCTGTAAATACTACATCATTTTGTATCACCGCACAGATTGTGCGAGGATAAGCTTATTGAAGTTTGAAGGCATTTTTATATCATGTGCCATATTTTGAATCCTTACCAAGCACAAACAGTACTGAGGGGTGCAATAAAGAGCATAGCAAGAGTTAAACACGTGCGAAATTATTTCTTGATTGAAAAGTCTCTGAGCAGAAACTGGGAATCTGGCCTGGGATTTCTGCATGATGGGCTAATGCAGTAGTCCTGGCTAGCCTGTTGCCCAGAAGCTCTAAACAAAGGGATAAGTCAACTGCATAGGATATATAGGTGTATGTATATGCTACAGCTGGGATATGCTGGCCAAGGAGGCTGTCGCACTCCTGTGCGGCTGTATTTTAGAACTGGCAGACGAGTGAACTCTTGCTTTCTTTTTAAAATAAAAATATAGCAGCCCTAGATACTTGTTTTAAAATCCACTGAACAAGGCCCCCAGCTTAGCCCTATCTGAATCCTGGTTAGCCCTAGAATTGCAAAAGAGTGGCTATTAAAATTGTAATTGGTTCCCAAGCCAGCCCCAGGGAATGTGTTTGGCAAACTCTGCTTTGTTTGCTTGTCTTGAGGGTTGACTGATTCTGTTGCCTGCTCTTAAACTTGTGAGACCCCAGTTCCTACTGGATCCCAGTTTCTGGCCAATGTTAAGAAACAATACCGACCTCTTGTGGAGATCGGGCGTCTTATGAACCCTGAACCACGCTTATTTTGTAAAAGAATGAAAATGCATTTGATGCTGCTTGCTTTCCTCTCCTTGAGTAGAGTGTTTGTGTTTAATCAAGTTCTCAATTTGCTTTTTCAGACCTTGGTACCTGGAGAGAGGGCCGGCTTTCAACATAACAATTTTGTCATAGGTCCGCAAGTCACTACGCATGATCCTGCTGTAAAATCAGTGATTGGAAATAAACAGGCTGCTTCAGTAAATACTTCTCCTTCATTAAGTTGGCTATCAAATCTAACAAGTGGAAATGTGAATAAAGAAAACAAAGGTATATGCATAACTAGAGAAAAGTAAGCCCTTTGTGGCTGTTGGTCAGAAAAATACAGATCAGACTCCTCAATATCTTGCACTGAGGATGATATAATCTGCCTGCTGGGATGGGAGTTCAGAGAAACTGTGCTGTGAAACTGTTCTGTGGCAATTAACTTGGAGTAAAACTTGGCAGGGTTAGCGTATCGGGACTGAAAATTGGATTAACATCGCAATGATGTATTTTTGAAAGTTCAGTTTGAGAAGATACTTATTTAAAAATGTGTGAGCTTTGAAAACTTTCTGAAATCTTTAAAGTTAAGCAAAATACTTCGTCTTTATATATAGAGAGGAACAGGTACATCTATATATAAAGAGAAAAAATGCAACATGTGTGTACTCGTGGTTCAGAGGATTAATCCTTGCCTCAGTTTTGGAAGTGTTCTTTTCTTTGTTGCAGAAAAACTCCTCATCCCCATTTCAAAGAATGAAAATAAACCTCTTCAGACACTCCCTAGTTTAGCCAAGCCTGCTGCGGCCTTGCAGACATTCAACAGTGCAATATTAACACCTGTGAGCAACAATAACACAGGTTTCTTGCGGAACCTATTGAACTCTTCTGGAGGAAAGGTATATGACAATCTTTGCTTTACTGATTTGACTTGTTACCAAGTTGAGGTTACTGTTCTAAGCTTGTGATCAAGCTTAGATGGACGTTCGTCAGAGTAGAAAAATTCTGTCTTCAGCTTGGAAAGCAAATGTCCCATGTATGTGCTGGTTAGTTCCTCTTAGAATGGTAGCTTAATGGTACTATCAGCAAACCTTCCTTGGTAAGGTGCTGGGAGCCAAGTGATAATGCAGATAAACGTACTCAACACGTCAGCCAGGCATTATCTTGATCAGCATGTTGATTAGGTAGTCTCCAAAAGAAGTGTCGAGGAATTCATATTGTTTTTAGTTCCTAAAAACTTCCGTGTTGGTGAGTGACTATCTTCGGGTACACAGCTTGCAGACTGGTTGGCTTCAGCTGTTCCTGGGCTTTGTTTACTCTTACAGATATGATTTCAAAATCAAAATGAAATGGTGGGGTAAAATGTTGGTCGTGAGTCCTTTACATGCTGCATTTCAGTTTTCTGCAGTGTTGCTGAAATGTAAATCAGAGCAGACCTTCTTATGCCAAAATGCTGTAGACTAAGCGTGAGAAATTGCATTGACACTTAATGATGGTAAGTTTCTAGAGAATAGATGTTCTGCAGGTTTTTGTTTCTCCGCATGATTGTGAGCTCAATTAAAAATGTGAAAGTGGCAAATATTTTTTGCCATGTTAAATGTATGGCATCGTTACAGGACAAGGTAAGAGAAAAGTGTGGCAACTTCATTTTTGTTCTCTCTTCCCTTTTTTCTTTAAATCAGACAGACAATGGACTCAAGAGTACACCGAAAATCCTGGATGACATTTTTGCTTCCCTGGTGCAAAATAGAACCATTACGGATTTACCTAAGAAACCTCAAGGATTGACTATAAAGCCTACTATAATGGGTTTTGATACACCTCACTACTGGTTATGTGATAACCGCTTGCTATGTCTTCAAGATCCCAACAATGAAAGTAATTGGAATGTCTTCAGGGAATGCTGGAAGCAGGGACAGGTATTTAAGGTTTTCTCCTTTTTCCATTTTCAATTCATGTGCTTTGCCCTTTAATTGAAGGGCAGGTGCCTGCTTGTTGCAATGATAAGCAACACTATAAAACTTGATAAAATGAATACCTGAGAGCACTGTTCAATAAAAAGACTCTTGGATAAAAGGATATATATATTTTACTATTTGAAGTCAGTTTCCAAACACAATGTTGAACTTCTGACTTGGAATAAAAAGGTGCTTTGAGGCTTGAAGTAAAGGATGATCAAACGCATAATTCCGGTATGAGCAACCATTTCACACAAAATATAGTATTTGCAAAGTGCCTGTGTTTAGATGTTTATTACATCTTATGCATTCCCTGTTCTGGCTGGACTAAGAATTTTTGGTGTTTAATAATTCTTCTATATATATATTCCTCTCCTCCTTAGCCTGTGATGGTGTCAGGAGTGCATCACAAGTTAAATGCAGAACTCTGGAGACCGGAGTCCTTTAGGAAGGAATTTGGCCAACAGGAAGTAGATTTGGTTAACTGCAGGACCAATGAAATTATCACTGGAGCTACTGTAGGGGATTTCTGGGATGGATTTGAAGATATTTCAAGTAAGTAGTGTAAATGTATTGTTATATTTCAATGGATAAGATACTCGGCAAACAGTAATCTCTTCCCTAACATAGATTTGCCATTCTAAAGTAGCCTAGAGCAGCATACAAAGATGTTCCGGGCTTTCTCTTCATCCTGAAGTACAGTGTGTCTGCAAAGTATTTTCACCATGTAGGCTTGCAGGATGATTCAGTGGATAGACATTTTATCAGTGTTTATTTGAGGACTTTCCTTCAGGCGCGTGCTTGGCTGTCCTTAGTCTTTTGGGGAAACGTTCTGAGAAAGTTTGGGTTCTCCCTAGCCAGTAAGTTCACCTTTCAGCTTTTTGCCCAGTTGAATAGAGCATAGAAAAGCGTGCACAGGGGTGGGTTGACGTTCACAAGGTTAGATTTCACTGTTGTAACTTGGCAGGTGCCTTTTGTTCCTGAGGAGCTAAAGTTATCCTGAGAAAAATGAGTTAGGGGAGCAGCATGAAGGTTGACGTTGTTTTCACTTCCAGGAATAAACTTTTTCAGGGAGAATTAATATTTACCATGGCACCTGGGGTCCTGTGGTAGTCTTTGCATTCATTTTGCTCACCTGCTTCATCTGTTTCTGTGACTAAAACTTTTGGATTTCAGTACTTGAGGTAAAAGTAGAGTGGGAGCTGGAAGGCTCACTTCTGCCTTTAGTTTCTGTTACCTGAGCTTTGAAGAGATTTGGCTTATTATTAACTACTCTAGCCTCAAACACAAAGTATTTGCCTAAGCTAAATTGTAGGAAATACTTGGGGAGGGGAGTGGGTAAAGGCCACATATCTAGTCTAAAAACTCCTTGTTGTCATGACAAATTTGTCATGGCATTAATACCTGATTCTGGTGTCAGGGGAACTGCGTGGTGTTGGTTCTGCATGAGTAGTTGTGGAAGGAACATGATTTTAAACTAAGATAAGAATTTCTTTGCCTTGGTTCTCTGTATTTCGAGTTACACAAAGTATTAAAAACCAAGACTTGTCAATGTTTGACAATAGGCCGCCTGAGAACAGAGGAAGGAGAGCCAATGGTGCTGAAGCTTAAAGACTGGCCTCCAGGAGAAGACTTCAGAGACATGATGCCTTCTCGGTATGAATTCACAAAGAAACTGTTTGTTTTGCACAACCCCAAAATGATAGAATGCAAGAATACTGTTACGCTTTAACACCTGCTTCAGCTTTAAGAAGCAGTTGTAGTTCACATGTGAACCGTCTTGTTTGTCAGAGATGCCTGGCATAGCTGGGAATGCTAAATAAGTTTTATGACAAATGCTAATGAGTGTGTAGCTCATTGTATTTGTTGTCAAGTAAAGTAAATGCCTGGAATTGCTAATGATTGATTAAACTTTTTGAGACTTTCTAAAAGCCTGAATCATTTTGAAATCTAAAGTTCAGCTGAAGCTTATTTTTTGCAAAATTTATTTAAGTATTCTGACTTAAGCTATATGCTACTGAGATAACGCCACAAGGAAATAGCATCAAGGTTTCAGTATGTGTTACTTCAGTTAAATATGTCCCTACGTACTGTGGTGCTAGGTCTTACCTGTTTTTGTTCCTTTTTTTGTGGTGTACCACTGCCCAATAAACCTGTGGGACGAGAGCACTGTTTCTTGATTGAAGAAAGCTTTGGTTGCAGTCATTTTTAGTCTGCATGCTGAATTTTAGTTGTAGTATTTCATAACATTAAATTGTGCTGTATTACTTTAGGTTTGATGATTTGATGAAAAATATTCCATTGCCAGAATACACTAGAAGAGGTGGCAAGCTCAACCTTGCCTCTCGACTTCCCAGCTATTTTGTACGACCGGATTTAGGCCCCAAGATGTACAATGCATATGGTAAGTAATTTTTTTTTACTGGAAAAGTTACGCTGTCCACACCTGCAGAATTTAAACTTGCTGTAAATGAAATGAATCCTTGCTACTGTAGACAATTTGATGAATCCCATTGATCCCAAAACTCACTTTTGGCTCATTCATAGGAATTGGTGATGCCCAGAGTTTTAGCTGATACTAGCAGAATGTTTTTTGTCTAGATGTGTTCAAGCTAATGCTACCTATCCCCAGTCTTTCAAAGGACTTGCTCCATGTGTGTGTATGTATATATACATCCTCTGTTGCCTATAGCTGCTCGTGTGTATTTGCTAGTCTGTTACTTCTGACGTATTTCTTCTCCTTCTGGGCTGTGTCATTTAGGTTTTTAATCTCTTCCGGAGCAATTCTTTCCATGGCTGATCTGCCGCTGCTCAAAAGGTGCTTAAAACTTTAAGCATGGTCATGGCAAGTAAAGAGATCATGACTAGTAAATATTATAGCACATTAGTTTTTAGTACAGCTGCCTTTAGAAAGAGCAAGAGGGTGTTTCTGAGAATACTTCTAAACTGCTATAGAAACCTTCCTCTAGCAAGACTTAACCATGACTTTTATGTGACGTACAGGCTAAGTGTGGATACAGATGGATGCGTCAGCCTGTCAACTTAACCTTATTTGCATTTTCCCAAGTGGCGGGGCAAAGCACTGGCTATAAAGCAGAGACTGCTCTACAGGAATCATCTGCTGAGGAAAATAACAGCTCTTCAGGCTTTTCCAGATAGTGCTGCTTAGAGTGGCATGATGTTCTTCTTTCTTGTTGACCCGCTAATATACTGACCGCGCTTCTATTTCTTTTCAGGCTTAATAACACCAGAGGATAGAAAATATGGCACAACGAACCTCCATTTAGATGTGTCTGATGCAGCTAATGTTATGGTTTATGTGGGTATCCCCAAAGGTCAGGTTGATCAAGAAGAAGGTAAAGTCTGTTTTGTGTTCAGTAGGCTTTATTTCTGTGGGTGAAAGAAAGGTCCTTTGGTGTAACTGCTTGTGTTTACTCTGTAACAGAAGTGCTTAAAACCATACAAGACGGTGATTCTGATGAACTGACGATTAAGCGCTTTACTGAAAGTCGAGAAAAACCTGGAGCTCTGTGGCACATTTATGCTGCTAAAGATACAGAGAAGATCCGGGAATTTCTTAAAAAGGTAGGCTGTTTCATCTGAAAAATCAATCTTGGGTCTACGTAGACATGTAAATACATATCCTCGGACTTTTTTTTCCTTCTTTCCCAGTTGGTATAGAAACTTGGAACAAATGTACTTGGGTTGCAGCCAAGAGAAAAATTCTCTGGCGCTATGAATCTTGTAGGGTCTCAAGAGGGTAGCAAGTTGAAGCTTGAAATTATTCTGCATTTAGATGCATTGCTTTTGTTCACACTTTTTTGTAATACAAGGAAGCACGTTGCTTAAATCTAATACAGATATATTTTTGTTAGTTAACTAAAAATACGTTTTAACCTTAAACTCAAAGAAATGTGTAGAAGGTGTTCTTAAGACACATCAGAGCAAAATATGCGGTGCACAAATTCTCTTGTTTCTTCCTTTTCCCCTCTCATTTTTTTTCTGCCTTCCACGAGGTTCGGAACGGAGGGGGGAAAATAGATATTTTAGGTGATGCCCTCATGAGAGGGAAATGGTTTAATGGAGTAAAGAGATACGATCATCCAAAAGGCCTTATTTCAGCATTTAAATTCAACCATAAAGAGTCCAGAGTTCCTGGCCACCTTAATGGTAGAACTTCTTTGGTGCGCTAAGCGTAAAAAGGTAATATTTTAATGTTTAAAAGGATAAATGGGAGATCTGAACAATTGTTCTGCCAGGGCCAATAATGTCAGCCTTACCCTTGTCTTGGGTAGAAGTTTTGAGAAGCTGTAGCAGATCTGGTTAATGTTAATGGAGAACCTGGTAAAAATTGTTACTGAATTTCTTAAGCATTGATGTTTTCAATTTTGACACCTACATCTCACTTATATGAATGCCTATGAATCTCTCTCTAAATTCTGGGAGATATTTCAGAAGTCCTTACCTTACTGCTAGTCACGAAGGTAGTCTTGCTTAAGACTACAAGATTAAAGTATTGTTCAGACAAAAGAATCCTCTTTTTTCTTACTACTGTAAAATGTTAATCAAATTTTTCCCTTTTCTCCAACTGATAAGGCTGATGTAAGGCATTTCATTTGGTGTCATGCATCATCTTGATTTTATGAAACAGTAAGACGACGACTAGTGATTCTAGGCTGTGTTTTCCTCTTTATTGCAAAACAAATCCATTTTTTTCTTATGCCTACTGCACAAAGAACAGATTATTGGTGCGATGGGGAGGGGCTGGCTTTTGTTGTGTGCTTTTATAGCAATGTCTCACTTGAACAGTCATAGTTCCTCTTCAGTCTTTCTAGTCTAGATCAAACATCCTCCTCTTTCTTTCAGCACAGGTCATGTTTTCTATACCTCTGATCATTCTTTTAACTCCTTTCTGAACTTGTTCCAGTTTGGTTTTATATCTTGAAATTTTGTTCTCGAAGTTGGAAACTGATACTGCAGCTAAGGTCTTACTGCAACAGAGTAGCATAAGTGCTGCTTCTTGTCTTGTGTAAGTCACTGTATATACTGAGGTTCTGTCAGGCTCCTTTATGGGAACTGCAGTTTGGGTTGGGATTACGCTGTGTTGTCCCAGCTTTTTTCTGCAGAACTGCTAGCTGACTAGTCATTTTCAGTCATGTATTCCACGCTCAGTGTTTTTTCTAGTTGGAAGCTGTAGTACTGCAGGAGTATATGACAGTGGTTCCTATTGTGAACGTGTGAGTCCTTCTGCTCTCTTACTGTAAATTGAGATTACTTGCATTTATTGCCTTCCCCCTTTGCAATGCTTCTGCAAAGTGAGGTGTCCAGCTGTTTATCAGACAGTGAAAGTGGAAAATGATGCAGCCGTGTAATCAAGACTTGAGTAAGAATCCAAAGCTTTTATTGTAACTTAAACTGAACACGATGCACTGTCACTTTATCTGGCATGCAGGCATATGTGATACCACAGAGGCATCTGGACTATACTATACCAGTTTTACTAGATAATACCTATCTTGTGACTTTTCAGGTTGCTGAAGAACAAGGTCAAGAAAATCCTGTAGATCACGATCCTATTCATGATCAAAGTTGGTACTTGGACCGATCTCTAAGAAAACGTCTTCATCAAGAGTATGGAGTTCAAGGCTGGGCTATTGTACAGTTTCTAGGAGATGTAGTTTTCATTCCAGCGGGAGCTCCACATCAGGCAAGAACCAATGACACTTTGACAGACTGACCACTTATACGGACTTTTGTATATATGCCTAATTCTTGTTTGTTCTCTTCAGGTTCATAACTTGTACAGTTGTATTAAAGTTGCAGAAGACTTTGTATCCCCAGAGCATGTCAAACATTGCTTCTGGCTCACTCAGGAATTTAGGTATCTGTCACATACGCATACGAACCATGAAGATAAATTGCAGGTAACTTACCAACACTTAGGATGAATTCTGCCCCCTCCCTCCCTCCCTCCTTCCAAAAAACAAAACAAAAAACAAACAAACAAAAACCCCCAAAAACCCAAAACAAAAAAGACCCTTACCAAATCCTTAAAGTAAAAACTTAGATCATATGGACAGCTAAGGACTAAACTGCTTTCATGTTCTAATCGGCTTTAATGTATTGGACTTCGAAGAGAAATTTCTCCAGGCTTTTGAATTGTGGATTTTTTAGTAGTTAAGTTTTGAGGAGGCATTCTGAAACTTCTCCTGAGTTTCTTTTGAAATGTTTCCTTCTTCCCTTTCTTTTGTTTTTTTCCCCTCTAGCTGAGCCCACTATGTTCTCCTCAGGCGACAAAGCTACAGCTTTTATCTTGTTAGAATTTGAATGTAGTTTTCGCAAGTAACTAATGTAAGTGAAGTTCATTCAGATAAGTGCCTTTAAACTGAAAGGAGAGCAGAATGGGGTGTGCAGAAGGTGGGAAGGATGTGCAAAGTGTTTTCTGTATGTCAGAATCTCTCATACTGACCCTAACCATGCTGTTTAGTTCTAAAACTAAATGTCATTTCTCTTTCTACTAGGTGAAGAATGTTATATACCATGCTGTTAAAGATGCAGTTGGGATACTGAGAGCTAATGAATCCAGCCTTAGCAGACCGTAAAGTAGAAAGCCTTAACCACACACTATGAAACAGAAGCGTTGGCAGCTGTTTTAACTATTCAGTCAGGACCTCTGTGGACTTTGAGATTATATGAATGTTACCTCATCTTCCTTTCAGCAGTACCAGAGGATTGTGGTACTATGTTCTGTGTATTCTTCCAATGTTTACAAACCTGATATGTATATGTAGTAATATGTATGGACTGTGGCATACTGTGAATGCTCAGTTGCAATAGAACTTTATACGGAGTTACTCTCCAAACTGTACAAAATACCTCCTATAGAACTGTCGGAAACTATTCCAAATTACTCATTTGAAAAATATTATTCAAGACGTGTTGTAAAGCTCCAATTTTTTAAATTTATTTTGGGGTGTGGGGGGGTATGAAGTCACTCAATTTAATAACCAATTTACATAAAAAATAAACTGAGAATGCAGTTCTGAAATTTCACATTAACATAGAACTAGCATTTAAAAGTAGCTTTAAGCTATTGTATAGTAACATAGAGATGGGAGTTAACCATCCTTAGGTAAATGTATTTAAATTTCTAAATGTTTAAAAAAACCTTTTAATCAAAAAAGTCTTCTGTTTGAAACTGATCTTTAATTTGAACTGATGTTTGATTCTGTTTTTTAACACTGAATGGTCTACATAAAAGTCTTCTATTTCAGATATTGTTCATTGCCCAGCTTCTTCCATTCACTATTCAAACTGATTAATTTGATGCAGTCCTTTGAAATGCAAAAGAAATTGTTTATCATACTGTTGATCTGCTTTTAAGGAAAACTTGAAGGCTTAGGGTATTGAATTTAGTGATAATTCTGTGCGTAGCCTTTTTTGGTTAACCAAAGCGTGGCTTAGCTAGATTACTGCTTCTCAACTGATACTAGCGCTATAGTCTGCATCAAATGTGATGCACAACGTCAGTGTTCAAAAAGGCACTTTGCTCTGAAAGTTGTTTTAGAGCAAGATTGGAAATGTCATAAATTCTACAACAGGCAGAGGGGTCAAGAGTGGGAAAGAGCTTCTTTCATCCCACAAGATGAGCTAAGATAAAATTAGCCTTTCTGTTCGTTAAGGTCCTTTTCAGCAACTGACAAAATACACTGGATAGCTGTTGTGAAGAGCTATGCAGGAGGAGAGCCTCCTAGTTAGCCAAGAGTCAAAACTCTGCAAATTCTTCTTCCCATAATACTACACATGCTACTAATAATCAGCATTAATTGTTCTGGGTCTCTCAGGTGACAGCCTTTATTCTGGAGAAATTTCCTCTTCTATGTTCATCAGTATCTGAAATGAAGCTGAGCCTGTTTTGACTTGCAGGGAATAATCCAGGGAATAATCAAGTGAATAATCTCTTAAGTTAGGATAAAGTGGGCTCATAACAAGTTTGTCTACTGCGAATAGGTAATTTGTTCCCTCATTGTGTCAAAATTGAGACAGAAGCAGGCACCCAGAAGAACTAAAGAAGCAAAATGAAAACATAAATTGATTATGGTTAGTTATGGGTTGTGTGTGCACTGCTCCTCTGATTGAGGGTGCCACCCTTGACCACCTGGCCCAGTATGTTTTTGTATTTTCCCTAAGTGTCTTCACTGGCCTGCTCCAGTGGAGGTGATCTTGTTTGCGAGGTCTGTAAATCTTAAATGTTTAAGTGACCCTACAAACTGAGGTGGCCGGTGGCTCTGGCTTCACGTTTCTTCTGTGTAGGAGGCACGTTCAACAGCACAGGAAAAATGCCATGATGCTGGATGAGGAATTCAGGCAGTTGTGAGATGATACAAGTGCACTGGTGTTGCTCCTTGTGCAGGCACAAATCTAGTTCATTTAGTTTGGGCTAGTTTTAATGCTGTTTAAACAATTAAGCATCTTTGCTGTGTTAATTTTTCTGCATTTCCACTTGCTGATGGTGAACAGCCTGGCCTGTTTCGAGGAGTTTCAGCTGGTTTCTCTAAGGAAAAACAATAAAATGCTGATTTAGCACTTTGTGCTTGAACATCAGCTAGTTAAGTATCCTTAAGCCCATGGTTTAGCTAAAACCTCCTTTCTTCCAGTAGCAAGTTTAAAGTAAATAAAATAAAGCAGTCTAATTGCTTTTTTTGGATCCAGTTAGAGTACTTGTGAGGAGCTGGCGTAAAGGTATTTTACCTCCCAGTGAGAGAAAGGGGTCATGTATATGTAGAGACCTTTTGTTGAAGCTGGATTTTGAACTTTCTTGCTGTTACTGTCTGTTTTTATTCCATCTTTTAGCTAAAATTTTACTGCTTTTCTCGTGCTTTTCTCGTTCTAATCTGTCTTCTCTGGATTCCTAAGACCACAAGAAACAAACTGTCCTGTCTGTCCATCTTCTGTTTGCCTTAGAGATGGAACACTTGGGAGTTGCACAGATACTCAAATTTGTGCACCACCCTTACACATCAGAGTTATGGCTATCTTGACTGTTGAGGATATGCCTGTTGTGAGGTGTTCTTGTATCTGCCACCCACTGCTGTGCAGGTGAACTGTGCTTGTCTCCTCCTTGCTTTTCCTGGTTGAAACTGGAACCTGTTGGATAACATCCCGGTTTCTGTTTGTGTGGCTTGCCTGTTCTTCCACCCTTACTGTTGCAAAACAGTTGGTTACAAGTTTAGTTTTCTTTTAGTAAGTCCTCCATAAGTTTCCTTTGTTTGTGAAGCGCTCTCAGGATTGATGTGCTCAGGTGAGAGACAAACAGGGAATAGTTACTTTACTTTGCAAACTGCCTTTTGTGAGTCTGGACGTTAGTCTTGCATCGAGCTTTTTCTTGGGAGGAGAGACACCTCTCCTTGTGTTTTGGATTTTTTTTTAACCTAGAACTGTGCACTTTAAATAGTAGATAACTGTTTTCACCACTGGTGACTGTGGGATAAAGAGGCTGTAATATCTGTAATGATTAAGAAAAATTCAGACCCTGTTAAGTGAACTCCCCTTTCAACAGTTCAGCGCTTCAGTGATTGTAACAAAATAGTAGATGAAGACTTCTGCCTAGCAGCTGCTTGCCTGTAAACTACTATACTCTGTTACAGCATGTGTGCTCTTACCAGCTTTGAAGATGACCAGAGGTGGATAAAAAATGTTACTATTCAGCAGCTCTGGTGGGCCACAAAACACTTCTCCTAGGAGAAGTTTGGAAGAGTCTCAAAGAATGGAGGTTAGGCTTAATTTTGTAAATCTTGGAATTTAGGAGGAGTCAGCTCTGGTCTCAGATCTGATGAACCTCTGGCTGCAAGAGCAGTAGATACCACTTCATTTGGCAGTGCCAGGGTCAGAAGAGGAGGCCTGGCCACTGCCTCAGGGTCTAGTGAAACTATACCAACAACATAGAGAGCTACATTAGTGTAGCTCTCACCAAGATGAGCCCCGTCTTTCACCTGGGTCAACTGATTCTGCATCACTTTGAGATCTGTTTTAAACAAAACATGTCAAACTGTTTCCTGCAGCTTGGCTCTCTTCTCCCCCTGCCCTCCCCCCCCCCGCCCCAAATATGCAAAATGCTGTGTAGAGAAGACTTTGCTCTTGCCTTTTCTGTTCACTGAACAGGAAGGGAGAACAGAGGCTCTCCCATTGTGCTGTATGGACTTCAGTCAGTTGCAAGTCTTTTGCTAGGGTAGTTTTCACCTCTCTTGACTGCTTTCCCTCCCTCACAAAGGATTGAGATTAACCCTTCCCCACGTGCTCCTTTTCCTTCAGCCAAAAATATGTCATTGCTCTCTTGAACCACCCAAATAGACTGAGCTGTGAAAGGAAGAAAGCAAAACCTGTGATAGTTTGTGTATCACTTTTATTGGTGCTGTCAGTCTGCCTTGCAGAGTTACTGCCATCATTCAGTTTCTGTGTAAAGCACAGAACTGTTGCAGGAGCTGGCAGGGCTGTCATTTCTCTTCTAGCCCCTGTTAGACAGACGACTTCTTCACAAGTATCCTAAAGTAAGAGATAAAGCAATGGGCTGGGCTCCTGTGCTTCCACTGCCAAAGGTGGCCAAGATCAAAAGCAGAGAGCAACCTGAGGAGCTCAGGCAGGGCTTGTACTCATCTCCCAGAGAAGCATCTACTAGAGCTGTGTCCCCTGCACTAGTCCAGTTCTGTGGCCTGTTGAATCACAGGGCCAGGGAGATCAGCACCTCTTGGAAACTTTTTCCAGTCACTTACCTGGAGCACAGCTGCTTCTGGAGAAGCTCCTGGAGAGCAGCAGGTAAAGCACAGTGTCATTTGAATAAAGAGAAAGGAAGAAAATACAGGGCAGCTGAGCAATCAGTTGTTCTCATGCAAGAAACTGCTGTCCCCTTAGACTTCAGGGAGCAGCATTGGCTCTCCTGTCAGTGCAAGGCAGGACTAGTATTCTGTTACACGTAAGTAGAAGTTCTTACCTGCTGCAGATCTTTAAGCAAACACTACCCCATCTCCGAAGGAATGCCACCCAGCAGGCTCAGCAGCCTGATGCTGGCTGGGCTAAACAAGACTCCAGGGAACACGTGATGCTTGGGCATAGTTGGAAGAGAATTTGTTCAGCAGCTGCTCTAAAAGAAAGCTTTTCTTCAAGTAAGCTGTGAAGGTCCTAAGTGCAGCGAGTGCTCTTAAACCAACCGTGGTTAAAAACTAAAATTGTGAAGACAGTTAGAAATGATCAAACTAAACTGACTCAAAGGAGTAACTGTTAAAAGCAGCTTTAATAAAACTTGTAGTGACTCAGGAAATCAAAGGTTTTATACCATAAAAGGTTTTTGGTAGCAGATTAAGCCAAAGTGCCTTTTAAGGGAAGGCTGCTGCTGCTTGAGGCTAAGAATATATTTAAAGACTCTCTATCTGAAACCTTTTAACATTACAACACCATTGCCATGTCACCATAACTTCTCACAGGTGATACAGGCAAACAGAAAATGATAAAACAATCTCTATAGAATGCAATCCCCAAGAAGAAATATATTACAATGTTCTTGGGGAATATAATCCCCAGGAAGAAAAAAAATACATATATTACAGAAAGTATTCCCACTTATTAAGTTTTGCATTTTAAAGATAGAATATCCCCTTGCCAAAACAAAAAAAAAAAACAAAAAGAAAAAGGCAAACTGTACACATTCATTTCACCCTTAGCTACGGAGAGTAGCTAATCGTGACTGCATTGCTTCAATATCTTCTTCCTCATCAACAGCAGCAGCAGCAGCTCCCATGGGTTCTGGCTCCGGAAGAGGGGCTGTGACTTTTTTTGCTTTACCCAAGGCCCCTGTGAACAACAGAAAAAGGCTCCTTAGTATGCATTAATTCTCAAGAGTGACAGCTCTCAGGTGCATTTATTTTAAATAATCCAGCCAGTCATTTTTAGTTGAGATAACATGCAAGAACTGTTTGACTTTATAAGCCCTGGGATGAAGACAGCCCCCCCCCACTGATGGCTCTGCACCACTTTTTAAGGTCTTGTCACTGGCCCAATGAGGCAGCATGTGGCAGCCTCCTGGCTGATACTGTTCCAGTACGAAAACAATTCTGTGCCCCAGCAAGAGGGGCTACAGCTGCTGGTGAGCCAGGGAGGAAAGTGCCCCTCTTCCCTTCTCTTTCCCCTAACAGACATAGCACCCAGCTTCTCCTGCCCACACCCTCTCTTGGATGCAAGAAGCAAAGCTGGATGGGACAAGTTGCAGAGGATGGGTGTAGCCAGCAGAGGTCACGAGGTTAGGAGCTGAGGAACTTTGCTTTTTGTTTTTACAGCTGAGCACAACTCCACTGATTATACAAATTCAGACAAGAGAACTGAGTGTTCTACGCATTAACTCTAACTAAAAAGGTAAAAAAAAATAGCTTTATAAAATTTATGCTGGAAGTCATTCTTTTTTATTCGATGACTAACTCAGGCACTGTAACAGCATTTTACAGTCAGGAATCCTAACACAGCCTAAAAATTGAGGCAATGAAGTTGAGTGGATTGCCTGTCTTCATTAATAATATATACATCTACTCAAAAATATCAGATCCATCTTGTTAAGACAAGCCCCTGTACAGACAAAACACCGACTTAAAGCCCGAGTCAGAACTGAGCAGACAGCAGTCAACGTTTTATTTATCCTTTATTGAACCTAATGGGCATTTTTCAGCCCTGAGAAAGCTGTCTGTCAGTTTTTGGGAGTGCTCTTTGCCTATCAGCAAAGCCAAAGACACTACAGAGAGATTGCAACTGTTAAAGCAGAATATATGAAGGTTTAAATTGCTGTGTCTTGCTACTTAAAACAGCAGGAGCAAGACACTGCCCTCTGCAGAGATGCACAAACTTACCAGCTGTTATTTCAAAGAGGATTTTATCAATTTCCATCTCTGCCTCTTCTTCCATTTCCTCTTGATCTTCCATGCTTTCAAAAGTATCCTCTAGCATTTCTTCAATAATGCCAGCCTAGGCACAAACAAAAAGGCAGCACGTGATGCCCCTCTCCCTGAACTGGGTTTTTTTACCCTCCTGCTTTTCAAGATCAGGTTATGCCAGTCCAGGCATTTAGTTACTCCAGTAGGCCTGCTACTTGCTTGCTGCTCTAGCTTTTCAGAGCAAGGCTGTTCTGCCGCATGAGGTTGGCCAACACGCTTGCATGCTCCTCAAGCACGTGTCTGTTCAAACGGTGCACAGGAACAGTGGTAGGAAAATTAAGGACTAACCATGCATGTTCTCATATTCACCCCCCCACCCCGCAAGCTATTACTGGTGTTGCTTGTCTAAAAACTTGTAACCAAGGTTGCTCAGTCTGCCTTCACAGATGCAGCTGTAATTTGCAAGGTTCAGTAATCAAACGTTGTATAACGTTCTGTAAAATTAATGTCTGACATAAGCTTCCTTTATTTCTACCTACATTTAAAAACAATCCTATACAGGGCGTGCAACCTAAGTATGGCCAAATTGAGAGAGTTGAGCTGGTTTGACCTTTTAAACAATGGAATAGGGGGAGGGGAAGGTGGTTTTGGCAGTTGAAAAGAAAATAACTACCATACAGAAGTAGAATACTTGAAATCAGAGCTATTTTTTCTGTTTGTAAGATGGAAACACTACTCTAGTGTGTCGTTCACAAAATTTTCTTTTGTGAATGAAGAAAATTCATTCTCCCTCAGAACAGACTTGAGTTCAGCAATTCAGGCAGTCACTGGGGCACAAGCATGAGTCCTGCTTTGAGCCTTGGTCTCCCCCAAGTCCTTGCAACTAGGATCACCAAACCATGGGAACTGGTCTTACTCCTTCCATCTTCCACCTGACAGGCTTTTTCTGCTGCAAGCTTTACACCGAACATGCTGCAGGTATCGCTGCTTCAAAGGGTTTTTTTTTCCCCTCCCACACACTTGCTGGGAACTTGCCAGCTATTAACGCGCTATTTCTTTCCCTTTTTATTATTTATTAACCCCAACGTTACAATAAACCTGAGCTGTCTGACACACAGGCCATCTAAGAGGGTGCACAGCACTGCAGCACACAGGACAACCTCCCCCCTCTTGTTTACCCAAGTCTTACTTATGCTGCAGATCTTACCTTCATCATCTCCTTGGACAATTCTCTCATTGTTGCTTGAATTTCTGGGATTTTTACTAGATTTTGCATAGCTTTCATCACTTCTGTGCTCTTCTGCAGTGAACCTGCTACTCTGAGAACAGCTGTGAATAAGAAATACAGAAAAGCTTGAACAATCCCTGCATCATGGAAAGCTGAGAAACTACATCCTCCCTACGTGGAGGGGAGAAAAATTATGTTTAGGCAATATTGCTTAGAAAACGGACATCCTGCTTTTTTTTAAATTCTTGCCTACCTTCCTGGAAAAGCTAAACTCCAATCCACCTCAGAAAAACTAAATTTCTAGCAAAGATACTGGTCACATATGATTAACTGCAGCAATCCAGAGTCCCTGCAAAGAGATGTCAACCCACGAGCACCCGATTCATAGAAGAGATCTATAAGGAGCTCCTGCTTGTGCTTCTCGGCAGCCAGAAATCTGACTGAAGCATTCACACATGGTTCCTTCACTAATTCTTGACACAGGTCAGGCTGAGCCAACAGCTGGTCAGTACCTGCCTTTGGCCCTGCTCCCCGCTCTGATCTCTTGGCTTAGTCCTTAGGCTGAACTCCAGCTGGCTCCCCAGGGGGCCAGACTTCCCTGCTGCTCTCCTGTCCCTCTGTACCACCTAGCACCCAAGGGTGCTTGGGTACACGAAACAGATCCCCCGCGACGCTTTGGCCTGTGGCTCTTTTGCAGAGCAATACTGATTTCCCTCCCTCCCCCTGCATACTACTTAAATACACCCTCCTCCTCAACGGAGCTGGTCAGAGTCAATCTGGCAAGAAATCGTGCAGAAAGCCTATTACAGCAGGAGATTTTCACGTGGGTAAGGGAGGAACATGCTAGTACTGAGGAAGCACAGAGGATCAGGTAGGGTTTGCAGAGAACCAGGTGTTAAGCCAAATTCTGTGATTCATCCACAGCAAGGAAATCAATCCCTTGCCCCACATCTCCACTTAACACTACATGTCCTAAGACTCCTACTAGAGAAACAATAATAATTTACTAGATGAAAGGAATTCTGCTGAAGGAAACAAACCTCGCTTTATAGAGCGTATCAGAATCAGTAACAGACGGGTCTCTCCGACTCTGCGTAAGGATACAGGGACGGGAGGCACGTATTCCCACCGCACAGGAGCACAGGCTGAAAACGTGCCCCTGAGAGCTTAGAAGCGAGCTCTGTTTCAGAGCAGGTGATTCTCACCTCACCACATCCCTTGGGCTTGAAGGGGGCTGTTCGGTTACCTGATGAAGGGCTAATCCCACAGACCCAGCAAGGATCTGAGGAACGACGAGGGAGGAGGGACCCTGGGAAGCTAATCGGCAAAAGTGGAGCGGTCAGACTGCCACCGAGTGCTGGATGGGAAACCCACCCACAGCGCTCAACGGGGAAACTCTCTGCAGACCGAAGGGGGGGCTGTACTGCCTACAAGGGTACAGGACTCATGAGATGCAGGCGAAAGGGCATTTTTGGACCAAGCAAGACTTATTATGGGATGTTTCAAGGGGATTGCAGGAATGTGAGGGAACACGAGAAACTTATTATGGGAAAACGGAGGGAAAAGGGGATAAACACAGCTGGTCCATATGCTTGATCCTTGCAGTCTATCCCATAGTCTTTTAAATCCTTTTTCTGCCTTCTGAATGGATGCATTCTCTATTTTGAGCATGTAGATGTGTGAACACCGGTACACTTCATGCTGAACTAGCCAGCGAGTAGGGTAAGAGGTCTGAGTACCAGCCACTGGATTGGGACCGCACAGCTCAGGGGCTCACAGGTCCAGGTGCCAGCAACTGGGGCAAATGAGGTGTTTGGGGCCAGCTGTGGGAGAGCTGGCCAGCTTAGGCTGAGTTTCTAAGACCATCTGCTGGAGTGACCCATATAATACATGTGTGTGTATATATTTGTATGGATATATACATATATAAATGTATATTCCACTCGTAGTCCTCAGTCTCCATCAGCTGGAGAAGAACAGGATTGGGCCAACAGTGCTGTCTGTTTGTGCGAAAGCTCTTTGCGTGTGTGTGTATGTGCACGTGCATGCTTATGCGAGTGCTGGCAAAAGCACTGCCGAGGGTGTGAGTGCTCAGCTTCGCTGGACGTGGGGACACAAGAGCCGCAGCAGCCTCACCTCTACGGGGCTGGGATGGGAGGAAGTTCCCTGGGTCTGGAGGCCCCCTGGAATTAGCTACCTTTAACAACAGTAGGTCTGCTTCCAAATTCAAGCTCTCCCAACTTAACGGCTGCGTTTGACCTTGATTCTGGAAATGGAAACTCAGACCTCACCTCTAAAATTAGAAGAGTCATTGCGTTCGGAAACATGTTCTTACCAAGCTGGTTCTTCATCCCCATGAGAACAGAGTTCATGTGTGCTTTGGACGCGTAGAGTTTGCTTACAGCCTTTCGAGAGCGGATCAGCTCCTTTGCCAAGATCACACATACATCCTTCTGACCCTTTTTGGCAGCATCCTTTATTGATCGCTTCACCTTTTCCTCTTCTCTCTGAATATCTGAAGAATAGAAAAACCGGACACAGCAAATAGTCACAAGCTGCTAAGGATTTAGAAGAGAAACCAGTCTTTTGTTGGGTTGTACTTTCAATGCAAACACAATTGTTTCTGCTTAATTTCAGATTCAATCTGGTACTGAAAGACCTTCTTCTAGGCTGATTTACAAGTTAACTGATTAATTCAGCTAAACATTAATAGCAAAATCCTCATTACTAAACATCCAGTTCTATTAATTTCCTTTGCAGTTACAGTACTCCAAATGATTTGCCAGGATATTACCGCAGGAAGCTCAGCTGAATAAGGTGCATTCTTAAGAAGCAGAAAAGGTTCCTGGAACACCAAAGCACGCAAGGATGATGAATACCTTATCTACAACTGCAGAACAACTCCTTGCTAGACTGATCTGTATCTGCTGCACTTCCCTTAGACCTTGTGCCGTAGTTCAGTGCAAAAACAGCTACGATGCCGGAAATGTCCACTTACCAGTGGAGACCGCCAGGAACCCGTGACCCTTACTCCTCAGTCTTTACACTGTGAATATGTACACTCATACATATGTACGTACATATAAATAAAAGGTCTGGTTTAAGGCTACTGTACCGATTTGCTATTTGCAAGACTCTCTTCCACGTTCATTACGAAATAGCTCCGCTTCGCCAGGAAGGAACGCAGTTGCCACAAGGAGTTTAAAACTAGCAGTTTCAGGAGAAAGACGGGGATTTTACTAGCCAAAATACTTAAGTGTCAGGCTTCAGGTTCAAAGCGTAACCCATCTGCCCAATCTGACGTGAACGCGAGGGCTGTCATGGGCAAAGCTGTCCTCACTGTTTCCAAATCCTGTAAAATGCATTTCTCCTGGTATTCCAGGTAGAAGATTTGTAGAAGGCACTCAGGTATCACACCGATCTCACAAAAGCTAAAAGTTTTAGAAATACTCTCCCTTTTTTATTGCATTTATTTATTTTATAAAGAGTAGGCACTTACAAAGCCAATTGGTAAAGGAGTGTCCAAAAGTTTAAAGTGATTTCGTTTCAAATCACAGATTTGTTCACTATCGCCCCAAAATCTTCATCCTTGCAGACAGAATAATCACCCCCTCCATCAGGCGCTCATTAAGCCAAATCTGTACTTTAAAGAGCTGAGTACTTGAGTTTCTACTGCTCGTAATTTAACACACGTGCGCTAGCTGTGCATATAAACTTGCACATTCAAATTATACAGCCGTCTGCTGCCAAAGCTATGGATAACGTATCAGGGAAAACTAGTATGCTGGTAAATCTTTAAGCATAGCTTAAAACAGACCGTTCAAACTCTCCTAGCACACAGCTTCTTTCGCAGCTTTGATAAGAGCATACTAGAGTGCCTACTCCAGTAGGCACTCTACAGAACTACACAATATACTACACAAACGCCGAATAGTAGGATTTGAAATACACGTACACGACATAGGCTTCCTTAAATAACCTAGGTTTCTCTAGCAAATCTAAGAGAGCGTTCGCGCTTTTATCTTGTTAGATAATGCTGGCTGCGTACAGCAGAAGCCAGGTACCGGCAAAAGCTGATTAAGAGACTTGGGAACAAGTAGGAGCTAAATCAGCCCCTTCCTTCCCCTGACTCAGCAGTCAACTAGCCATTGATGAAACGTGGCTCAAAGTCGATCTGCAAGAAACTACTGCAAAGTAAATAAAAGATTCAAATAATAACGTTTATGGACATTTTACTGCAAAAAGTTGAAGGAAACGGCCACAAGAACAAGTGATTCCAGCAGTGGTTTTGCTCATGGTTTTTTGACTCCCACCAGGGAGAAGTTGTACCCAGGCAACAATCACAAGTGGACTTATTGCAAAATTAAAGGCATTAAAACACACTTTCTGGCACAGGCCCGACTTGGAGACTGCAGCAGAGATTCTCACGTGGTAGTGAGGAACCCTGTGCTCAGGGTGACTCACTCTGAATGTCATTCAGGGACATCTTTTCCTGCCAATCCAAGCAGGATGAGGACAAAGATGCCTGTAGGGCTGAAATTCTCTCAGAAGAACATACTCCTTGTTTCTCCCCCTACTACTATCTGCAGAAATGCCATGAGCTAGAAGACATCTGTATGTCAGATATGAGAGCAGGCCAAATCCTGGCATATCAGGACACGCAAGACAAACGGCTGAAGTGGTAAAATAGAGAACAGAAAGCACCAAAAGTAATCCGAAGGCTTTGGGCAAAACATTTGGCATTTAGAAGGCTCACGTTTCTCCTAGGTTATAACTGTTTTGGATGTCTTGGAAGAGCCGATTAACAAAATCGGCCAGCAGTAGGTAAAGGTGGTCAGTACAGCCTGGCTCTATGGCCAGCTCTGCCACCAAACGCAATGTGGTAAGATGCCAAAACACATACCTTGCTCAGGTCAAAGATTCTCTTTAAGTAGATTAGGAGATATAGCCCTACTTCTTAGGGGTGCCGAGAGGGCAGTGGTTATGATGGACGTTTACAGAACAGTCTAAGGTACTAGAGATGGATGATGCTAAAAATATATATTTTTTTTATATATTAAAAAAATATATATATATAAAACGCTCTAAGTCACAGGCTCCACATAGCCAGAAGAGACATCTGCAACAGAAATCTTCCTCAGTAACAGGATTCCTCGGTGGTACTGAGGAAGAACGACATTCGTTTTGTTAGACTGAAGACAAGCTCGAGTATTTTATTACTACCTCTGAACTGTCACCATGTGGCAGTATACTCGAGCAAGAGCTTTCGCTTACGGCACAAAGAGCAGAATGTGAGGTTAGCGACACAAACGTGCAAGAACGATGAACTTGGGCTTTCAGGGTGGATGCCAGGAACGCACCTTCAGTGAGACGAGGTCAGTACACTGCTCCCCGCCACTGGCGTGCGACACCGCTACAGAGCACAGCGCAGAGGTGCAAAAGCAGCCCAGAGCATGGGCGAGGGGGCTCCAGCTCCTCCCGTGAAAGGGTCAGTAAAGTACAAAGTTATTACATTACTCCAACTCTCAAAATCTGTTTCTGAAATCAGAAGGGACACTTGTCAACTCTTCAAATATCCAAGCCCTCACAAGCAAATTATACTAGATAAAAGTCATCACAACAAGAACAATCCAACGACAGATGGTTTGAAACAAAGTATTGCTATATTAGGAACTGTGCTAACTGCGTGAGCCAACTGTTCAAGCGATCCTAGCCCACTCAGTCAAACCCAGGTGGATTTGACTGCTGCTGTATCAAAACACACTTAGCACAGCCTTCCCAAGGGAAACTAAGACAGGTCCCACCTCAGCATCCTTACTCAAAGAATGCAGTGATTTCTTGGGTAAAAATCTCAGTTGAAAGGGCAGAACGCAGCAGGGTGAGGAAAAACCCTTCAGTGGCATGTGCCTCTCATCTTGTGGCAGCAGGCTGCTAGCTTGATAAATGTCCAGCAGTCCCGCATACTTCCGCATCTGTCACTTAGTAAGATGTCAAATCCTAGCACAATATGAGCACCACAAAGGTATTCTGTACTTGATTTTAGGGGGCACTCAGAATTGCAGATGGTTGGCGTTTAGTCTAAACACTTCAGTGTTAAATCGTATTTCTTTGAATGTAACACTTAAATACATATACACACACACACAGAGAACTATGACCACAACTAGATTTACATCCACATCAAGATATCAGACTAGTCTATAACCTGACATCTATATAGACCATGTTAAGTATACCCTTTATAAAGTTGAGAGAAAACCAAAATTTCAAAAAACCATCAACAGTGAACACGTGGACAGTTTGCTCCCATGAAACGTGTGATTTCTCAAACATACTTTGCTCACAGCATCAGAGCCTTACCACGTTTTTCAGTCGGTCTGTGCCTGATACAGCCACACAAACTGCCCTGGGGAATTCAAAACTACCCACAACCATAATAAACATCACTGTAGAGCACTCTTCCTGGAAGAGGCATAAACCCTGTCCTCATTTTCTAGATGAGAACAAAGACGGACTTTGTACCTCATGAGACTCGAGAGCATCTCCCTCCAATCAATTCATACAAATCTACAAGTGGGAGAAATTATGAACCGTGCCAGCTTATTCCAGAACTGTGGGCTGGGGGCGGAATGGGGGATGGAAAAGAAGTCAGAAGAGAGAGTCACTCAAAACAGGCATCCACCCAATAACCAAACGCTGATACGAAATACCTTTTACCAGCACATGCTATGGAGCAACATCCTGAGGGCAGGAAGAGGTTAGAAGGTAAAAAGGGAAAGATCAGAATCTAGCTCAAAACCTGTTTTCAGGTTCTGGGATGATGGGCAGAAGAAAAAGCAAGAAAAGTGAAATAACAGCAGTGTAGTATTAAGCAATCCCTCTGCTTCTCAAGACACCTCCAAAAGCGTCATGCCCATAATTTAATGGCAAAACACCCACTGAGTAAAGAAGAAGTCTCCACCTCTTTCTTCCGTTTGCCACTTCCTCAAGCTGACATGGAAGTTGCGTTCGTTTAGCATACAGACTTCAAGCCAGTACCTACCGCTGGAACTTTCTACACCTGGAATTATACACCGTACTGGTCCTGTTCATTAATTTGATGTAGATGAAGTTTGGATAATAAGTCCCATTTGATAAGATGTGTAAGAGCCTGAAGTCCTACTGGAAGCATATGACATCCAGGTTCTTGTGAAAATTTCACTTGGAGAACTTTAGGGAAAGGTCATTTTTATCCCAAAGACCAAGTCCTGCCCCAGGATCGCATTCTTCCTTTATTCCAGGTACAAAACGGTGCCCCAGGCTATTACATTTCAAAGTTCCTGCTCTCCTTCCCCCTCACCTTTTTTTAACAAACAAACAAAGTTGAAGGCCATGAGAGAAAGGAAAAAAAAAAGAAAACAAGAAAATAGAAGTACGAACCTCTGATCTGTCTATCAATCACTCGCATTTCTTTCCTTATCTTCAAGGACCATTCATTGACCTTAAAAAAGAGAAAGCAGGAGAGTTACTTGAAATTCCTGATTAAAAAACAAACCAAGCTATCCTTTTATGCAAATGAACCTGCCAATATCGAGAGAAGCACTTCAAAACCCACAAGCTTTAAGGTAGAAATTACATTTGAATAGTTTATTATTCAAATACAAAACAGTATTTCACAGATACCACCGACTATTGCAATACTCTTAACATCTAGACGAAAGGTTAAGGAGGAAGTGATCTGTGAATCAGAGACATTCATTGCCTCACTAACTTCCCACGCCCCAGCTGATCAGATGTCACTGCGCAGAGGGAACTGGCCTCTGGGGATTTCACCATAAAATAGAAACTTTGGCACAAGATAACAGCACTGAGAATCCCATTACCCCAGAGCACACAAGCACTGAAGAGTTTCCAGTGGAAGGAACCCTAGGAGGTCTCCAGTCCAACCTCCTGCTCAAAGCAGGGCTAACTTCAGAGTTCGGACAGGCTGCTCAGGACCTTCGAGTCCATCGAGTTTTGGTACTCTCCAAGGACAGGGAATTCACAACCACTCTGGGCATCTGTCCCAGCACTTAACCACTCTCGTGGTGAAGAACTTTCCTTATGTCCAAATAACATTCTCTTCTTGCAACTTGTGCTCGTTGCCTCTTTCCTTTTTGTTGGGCACACCCAAAAAACATCTGGTTCTGTCTTCAGTATAAACCCGCTACCAGCAGTGACAGACTCTGGATCCTTCCCCTTAACCTTCTCTTCTCCAGGCTAAAACAAGCCCAGGTCCCTCTGCCTCCCCTCACGTCGCGTGCTCTAATCCACTGACCATGTTGGCAGCCCTCTGCTGCACTCTCCCCAGTTTGCTGGCATCTCTCTCATACTGGGTGCCCAAAACAGGGCACTGTTTTGCAGACGTGGCCTCCTGAATGCCACATACGGTACAGTAACAGAATAAGCACTTCCCTCAACTCGATGACTTCACTTGGCTAATACAGCCCAGCACACAGTTTGACTACATCGCTGCGGAGGAACACCACTAACTTATGTTCATCTTGTTTCCATGGGAGCCCCAGGTCCCTTCCCGCAGAGCTGCCGCCCAGCTGGTCAGTCTCCAGCTGTCCCTCAGTACAGGGACGCCTCTGTCCATGCGCACAACTCCGAACGGCTGAACGTCGTGAGGTCCCTGCTGGCCCGCTCCTCTAGCTTGCTAAAGTCTCTCTGAACCACAGCTCTGCCCTCCAGCCTATCAAGTGCTCCTCCTTTCCTGCATTTGGTGGGGATCAAATCCCAGCAGGTTTCCTTAATCCAAAATAAAGCCACCCCCCTGCATACTTTCCTCCTGGGACCTACTAAGATCGCTCTCTGCTCCTGCCTCCACCGGCACAGGGAGCTGAAGGAGGTGGGGAGCGCTGCTCGCCCCCAACCACCTCTCCGGTCGCAGCGATGTGAGACAGACAGCAGCTGCCAGATGCCCAGAGGAAAACTGGAAGCTCTTGGAGTGGGAAGGCAAGCAGAACAGAGAGGTGCTTTGCAAAACCAGAATCAAGAATCGGGAGATAATACTAGCACAGGAACACAGCACTAACTATTTTTAGAGCGCTGATACTACTATGGTTATGCCTATTCGTAAAATAGATTTTTCATGCTATCCAAAAACCCTCCAAGGATTAAGATGATCTCTAGTTCAAGGTTACACTTAAACACTGTATAGGCCCGTGCACGGGTCACTCAGGAAGTCCAGTTGGCTCTTTGAGTAGTTTCATACAAAAATCATCCTGATGTTTAAGTAAACAAGGTGTGTTTGCTTGTTTTTTTTTTTAATACAAAGAAAACGTGTTGTTTACCTAAATACACTTTGTAATAAAACTGTAGAAAGGAGTATTCTTCAGTTCAGCAGAATGCAAGCCAGATGCTTATACTTTTACTGGTCTCAATAGCAATGCTCCCAATCATGATGAACGCCACCGTATTTTGACTACAGAGCACTACCGCAATCTGAGCTGCCCCAGCACAAGGCCTGCTGCACAAAACAAAACGAGAAAAAAACACATAGTTCTGTGTGCACACATCATAGGCGCTCCGAAGTTTTGACAGGATTTAGAAGGCTCCTTTTAGTAGAATCCTATTTTATTGCTAAAAAAAGAAACCCCAAAAAACTAAACCACAACAAAAAAAACAAGACGACTGCAGCCTCCTCTCTTGCTCTTCAGAGCACAGGATGGGGCAGAAAATTGCCTGTGGATGCAATCCTCAGCCTGCTAAGAGGCTGAGAGGGTCCCCCTTTGGAGTATGCCTACACTGGAGGGACGGGGGGGGCAAGTATGGTAAGGCATGACTGAACTCCAGGCTGGCCAACTGTCAAGCGTCACACACAACATCCCCCAGAGACTTTTTTCTAAAGCCTGTATCCTAGAACAGGCCAACATTTACTAAGCATGCACGCAGAAGCGCAGGCAGCAACTGTCAAAATAACTACAGCAGGATTCACAGATTCCTACCTCTGAGATGCACAACAAAACCATTAAACCACGACCAGCAGCATGTTCTCAGCAATCTCTGATAACACTGACAGCAGGAAAATCCTTGATAGCTCATCTTTAATACTGCCCTGGCCTAACTCGCCTCACACCACGGGCCTCATGAACACAGAGCTGGGCCCTGGTCTTTCTGCTGCTCACCTACCTTGCTGTGTATAGGATGGAGAGAGGAGGGGGAAATCCCTTTGCCCCACCTCTAGAGGGGGAAGTAGGATCCTAAAGACAGGACCTCAACAGCACCCATCCATTATGTAACATCACAGAAGTCTTTCAGAATGCAATTTTTTATGTATGTGAGAGCCACACAGCACAGCCACGTAGGGAAGTGGGCATTTCATTGTGACTATCAGAGGACTTTTCCATTTCGATTTAAATTCTGCATATAGACCACTGGATGCTTCCAGGTACATCACCCATAGCAATTCCTAAGGAAGCAAAAAAGCTCTATTGCTGCTCTCATTACAGGACAACAAGGGTACAGCTACAAACTGTGGCCTAACACAACCCAGAAGTAGTATTTCTGGGCACAGAAGCAGTTTGGCCAACTAAGCAAGGCTAATTGCCCCAGGCACACCGCCACGCTGATGCAGCTAGACTGCTTCCAGTTCTGACAAACACACGCGTCGTTCTCACGGCACCATACAGGAGAGTCCGCCAGCAAACACCAAGCCAAGTACGCTGAAATAAGCCGCTCCCGCTACAGGGGAGGTAAAGCACATTTTTAGCTCAATCGATTCAGACACAACATTAAACATTTAGAAGTCCCACTGACTTTAGACAGGCTGAAACGGATCGCTAATTCTTCACAAGATTTGAAGAAGTTTGCCTTGCATCGTTCAGTCAGCAGGTTCTCTCTCATTGAGCCTCATAATCCAAAGTGAATTAACGCCATCACAAAAAATCCCAGCCTCTGCCCACCGTCAGCCACCTCCTCTGGTGCTGGATGCTGACCAGGTTGCCATCTTTAGACCTGCTCAGGAACATATCTCATGTAGCAGTTGCTAGTCGATATGAGCTAAATGGTGCTGCTTCCCCACCACCTCCTAGTGAGGTGAAGAAACTCCTTCTTCCTCTTACTTCTGCAGCCGCACAGTTCAAGAGGAGGAAAGAAATTTCTTCCTATTGATGGGTTTGCCAGTACCTCTGTTATGGCTGGTCAAGTCACTGTGCTGGCCTGCCACCTCAAGAACGTCCTCATGACGGCAGGATGACCCAAGACATTCCTCCCTGCTCTTCAGACACACGTGTTTCATAGCGCCTTTGCAAGCTTTGCTGCCAACAGCTTGAAGGCGACACGCAGACATGCTGTCACCTATGACCCTGGAAGACACGACAGCTTTGTCAGTTATGGAAGGGGACCGAGGGGTCTGTCAGACATGAAGCAAGCGGAACCTGGCAGCACAGCATAAGCTCACTGTGCAAACAAAGCAACCGTCTGCTGCTTTAGGCCATCACCCGGAGCAGCAGTCTCCAAACCACATTTCTCTCCGTGACACCATCCAACACTGCTCGTGAACAGAGGAAATTATAACCAACCTGCGTACTGCTCGGCCACAGGTAGAGGAGCGGAGATCACGCAGTTGGAAGTACGTCATCTACCGCTACCAACCAGTAACTGCTGACGACGACCTGCTCCCCTAGGACTTAGCTGTTACGAAGGGGTAGGGAATATCTTCCACACTGCGCTTCTTCTAAGCCTTCACCTTTGGTATGCGTCACCTTCTGCTTTTTTGCTGCCTCTAACGTACCTGCTACTCGTCTCCCCCTCCCGCCCAACGGCAGATTTCTGATGGACACAAAACAAACCCCCCAGCGCACCCCTCGGGCCATCCCCGCCTTCGCGGCTGTCCTGGCCGCAGCCGCACGACGCCCCCCCCGCCCTCGGCCGGGTGTTTACAACCGAAAAGCGC